TTTTATGCCTTGTATTTGATTAAAAAAAAATAGTATACTTTTAATTATAGAAGATACTAAGAGGAATAAAAGATATCTTTAAATATCAAAGTATGTATGACTATGAAATCTCTATAACTAGACTTCTATCCAAATGCTAATTCTGTAAGCCATTCTTCTGTAGTCCCTATTCTTCTCACCTCTGTTCCACAAAATGTATTTTAGAGAGAATATCGTCCCAAATGTTTTATGTGTTTATATACATACACTCGCACACGCCCAGTGTGGTTCTTCTGATTTGGTGGTATGTGCCCAGGCTAATTTTACTTGCCCATTTGTCCTCTTGCACCTATTATTTCTACACTCAGGTTCTTTCCTGCCACTTCATTTTCCACATCTGCAAACTAAGTACTCATTGGAAGTCAGAGAAGGAAACTGTCTAGTGAAATGAGGAATAATTATGACCCTAAATAGACCCCAGTACACTGATTTGCAGAGTGTGGGCTTCATTGAAATAGTTAATAGCTGAGATAAGAAATTTGCAAACCAAAATTAGATTTTAAGTCTAATTTTATCCCACAAAAGGCAAATAAATTCAGTTCTGAAATTGTAATAGTGAAAGCTTAAATGTATAAAGTGTGTATTTAAACATTCTTAATAGGCCTGTTGAACACGATTCAAGAATTTTGGGCATTAAAAAAACTTTGTAATATTATATATAAATACTCAGGAGCATCTCTTTGTTAAAAAGTATTCTGACACTTTCTAATTAAAATAACAATCACAGGGTTTTGTTGATGCTGGGAGATGACTATATGAGAACTTGATTGTTCTGTTTTCTTGTTCAGAAGTTTTCATAATAAAAAGTTTGGTTTTTTTATTCATTCAGTTAATACCATATTCCTGGGGTCTGGACCAAATCTAAAGTGTTAATATTATGCATTTAAATATAGATAGAAACATTTGTAGTATCTTCCTAAAAGAAAAGTTGTTAATAATGTTAGGACAGCTCATGGAAAATTAGGGATTACCTTTCTGCAGACCAAAACAGAGGAGGAAAACTGTTTGCTCTCTAGTTAGTGTCTATGGTTTGCCTTTATGTAGATCATATCAAAAAGCCAGTAATTGTTCTTGCCTAAATTATCTGTAAGCAAGGAAAATGTGCCACTCTGTATATGCTAATAATGCAAGATACTCGTGGTAAGAGACGTGTAATTTTATAATAATTTCTGAAATGGTTAAATTTACTATTTAATTCAGAAATGGAAAGCCTGTACTTAACAAGGGCTAACCTTTCTTGTAAGCATGAGTAAGTGGTAAATTTTGGATGAGAACTTGAATCTGATTATAACCTTCTTATAAGCATGACTTGAACAGAAAATATTACCTAGGAACTTTAATCTGGTTATATCTGCCATGCCATTACATGAAAGGAACGTAGATAACAACATTTTAATAGATCTATTTCAGAATACAGAAGCTCACAAAAAAGATTCCTACTACTTTAAGTAACAGAGACCCACCTCTACTCAAATCTTAGGGGGTGGGAATGTCTTCTTACCCATAATAGTATTGCCTCGCTAATCATCTGGTTTGTGTTTCTGGAGTGCTAGTGCCCTATTTCTTTAAGGCAGGAAAACTTCATAAGGCAGGTCCCTTTCTGTCCCCAGGTGTGGTCCTGAAAACATTTATAAACCAATAGTTGATCAAGGGAAGATGATTTATTGCTGTATTTTAAAAAGGGGATCATCATCATTACCTTAATATGTCTTATGAAGGGGACCCAAGAATTTAAAAAGTTTACTAGTGTTGTCAAAGTAAAGTAAAGAAAAAAGAAACACAACATATATAGGCTAGCAGGAGAGAAGAATACAGACACATAAAATAGTATAAGAACAAAGCACCACCAAAGAATGGAAATTAAAATTTATTTACTATTTTGCAGCTACTTTGCAGAAATAGCAATGAAACAGTAAATTCACTTAATATGGCTTGTGAAATTATTATTACATGGTATAATATCCTAGTGACTGACCTTTTTGCTTCATACAGTAGACTTCTGTGACTTCCCCTTCTTCTCTGTAAGGTAAACCTGTATTGCCTGTGAACACCTGGGTCCTCCCTTTGGCTTTGTTGTTTTACTGCTCTCTGTGCTGCAGTGCTGCGTTTGGAATTTGGCCAAGTCACCTTGGGAAAATTCCTCAAAAATTTTAGCATGGGAGTTCTACAAAAATGAAACAAAAAATTATTTGGTGCTCCTTGAAAAAAATAACCCTTCTTAAATAATCATTTAACTATGTCCATTAAAGTTAAATAATATGTAAAATTCTTTGTCATCTGTAATCCTTTCAAATCACATTAATCATTCGTTCATTCATCTCTCTCTTTTTTTTTTTTTTTTTAAACATTCTCTGTTGAACAACTTTCAACACAAGGAATAATTCATTTTGTAAAGTCCCTGTTCTCAAGTTTGCAAACTAGTGAAATAGACTCCCTCCCATACCTTGGTTATCTCTGCCAAGTATTCCATGTCATTCCTCAGATCTAGATATTTCCCATGGTCTGCTTTCTCTAGAGCCAAGAAAAAGCCACAAAACCTTTCTGATCGGTTCCAATACAATTCATGCTTTCTAGCCTAATCTAAATTCTCATGGCTACACAAAAGCTTTCATGTGGTTTTTGCTGACTTACCACATTCTTCACAGCAGAAAGTCTTTACTCTTTCAAGCTCCCAGCTAAACAGGCTCCCAGGAAGTGATTCACTTTTTATTACCAGGAGTAAGTCAACTTTCTGATAAGAATATCTGGGAATTCTTTCTGTATTTTTACTTCTTTTCCATCATTTCTTTCTCTTAAGAAAAGAAGATTATCTCACCTTGCCAACTAACTGTCTCAGGTGTATTGGGATTTTTTCCATCTCCTCCTGTTTTCCTCAGCACATTTTTCCAGCAGTTTTCCCTAGTATGCTTTACAACTTCAGTCTCCCCCAGTCTGCAGGCTTATCATCCACTGCCTAAAATCATGCTCAGACATTCCACTCTGCCAAAAAGACTCTTGATTCCTCATTCAGTCTTCTTAAAAAGTTTTTCTTCTTTTCTCAAACCCCTAAACTAATTGAAAGAATTTTCTCAATTCCTTACCAGCTGGTCCTTCTTTAACCCTTTCTGATTTGGCCTCTGGCTTGTCTTTGCAATGGAAATCGTCCTCTTGAAGATCATCGGTGGCCTTTCTGTAACATTTACATTTATCTATTCATTCATCCATTCATTCATATTCACTCAGAAAATACTTATTTTTGTGCTTGCTAGTGAACAGTTAGTAAATACTAAAGATACATCTTTAAAAAAATCCCTTTTGTCAGAGAGTTTATAATTTGGGTAGAGGGAACAAATAGAAAATTATTAGGCAGTGGAAGAGTTGCAACCAGTTATGTATAAAGCAATATGAAAGTGAGGGAAGCCTTGCCCAATCCGGCCTTTAGGTGGTCATGAACGCTTTTGTGTTCAAGTTAAGGCTTCTTTTAAAGGAAAAAGAAAAAAGTGTCTCGCTTAAATAAAAAAAAAAAAAGCTGGAGTGGACAACAGCATTCCTAGCAGAGAGAGTGTCTTTCAGGAAGGAGCCCAAAAATTTCTCTGCTTTTAGTTATAAATTTGCAAATCTAGAACATGAATGCAGAATTTGTCTGGGGAACTAGATGACCATGAGGCTATTGGAATAGGCTTTTACCTGCATTGCGTTTCTAAAGTTCTATTTAAGAGTGTGTGTGTGTGTGTGTGTGTGTGTGTGTGTGTGTGTGTTTTAGGGAGTGGGAAGAAAGAGGTCTGTACTTTTAATCTGTTTTCAACAAGTGAATCTGTGACTTTATAGTATCAACAGTCACGGCTATATAATTAGTTGAAGATCTATATATATATAAGCCTACACGACCGAAAGACCGGCCAACTGGTCACTATGATGCGCACTGACCACCAGGGGACAGACATTCAATGCAAGAGCTGCCCACTGGTGGTCAGTGCACTCCCACAGCCAACCTCCTGCGGCCAGCCAACCTTCTGCGGTCCCTCCCCCCAGCTAGCCAGCCCTGATAGGTCCCGATCAGCCCCGATCGCCAGCCAGGCCGAGGGATCCCACCTGTGCATGAATTTGTGCATCGGGCCTCTAGTCAGGTTATAAAAGGCGTTGAACCTCAAGCTAAGGAGTTTTTCATTGTACCTTAAAGACTCTGGATTGAAGAAGCTTAAGAAATATAGCAATATGCACAGATTTTTGTTTCTGAAAAATTTACTCTCTGAAATGTGAATTATAATATGAGATGAGTCCAGCATGAAATGAATGATGATCTGTGATAACTATGGGGAGTATGAAAAGAGAGGGCAAGTCAGTAACATTTTGAAGGTAGAATTTAGATTTTAATGGAGTCCTGCCCCTTTACAGCACACAATGCACAACCCGACAAGTCTCCCCCACCCTTAATGCTTACTCATCTCAAACATTAAACATCCTTCCTTGAATTAGGTATTTTGTACTTACTATCTGAGCTTAGGACTGTGCTTTTGGATTTTCTATTCCTTTAGCATCTAACACAGAGAATTTACTCATTAAGCATTCAAAACTGGTTGTCATTGATGATTTTTATATAACATCTCTTTCCTATATTAATTCATTTGATGCTCCAACAACCCTATGAGGTGTACCCTATTGTTATGCCCCCGTTTCAGCTAAAAAAATGAGTTACAGGAAGTTAAATTACCCACCTAAGATCTCACACCTAGCAATTAGTGGAACTGAGATTCAAACCCATACAATCTGGCATCAGAATCCAGGCTCTTAACCTCTATGCCAGACTAACTCCAAATTGGAAGCACATTATTTGCATACCATCCAGCAATCTTATATTTTAAGCATTCTATAAAATGTTCCACTCTCACCATAGTAAATGTACTATTTTATTTGACTTGTGTGGAACAGCTAATGAGTTTCCTTTCTAATGTTTTTTTGTTTGTTTGTTTTAATCCATTTAGAACCAATTCGAAGATACAAAACTTACCACAGTGATATCTTTAGTACCTCCAGTGAAAGTCCATCTATTATTTCCTCTGACTCAGACTTCAGACAAGGTGAGAGGCATCTCAGAAAATAAAATGTTTTTAAGAAACCGTGATTGTCCTTCTTTTTCAGTAGCACTGAGTTATGAGGTGACAAACGAATAATTCTATATAAAAATTTAAGAATTATAAAAAGCTGCCAGTTATTCATTTTAACAATATTATAAGAGCTTAATAATAGCTTCACCAACAGCAATGTAGTCATTTTCATAATATCTTATATAATAAAAGGCTAATATGCAAATAGACCGAACGGCGGAACAACCGATTGCTGTAGGATGGTGGAGCAGGTGAGCCGGGGTGCCAGACCAAGGCGGGCGCCAGTTGCTCCTGGCGCTGGAGCTGCTGCTCACACCCACTGCCAGTGCCTGGTGGCATTCCCAATCACTCAGAGCCATCAGCGGGTGCAAGCAGTGGCTGCCAGCCCTGATCACCCCTGAGGGCTTCTCCATCTCCCCCTGCTCCTGAGGGGTGATCGGGGCAGCAGCCACCACTAGCCCTCGCTCCTGGCGCTGGCCCCAGTCGCTCCACGCTGTCAGTGGGTTTGAGTGGGGCTGGTGCTGTCAGCGTGTGGGAGTGGCGGCAGCAGGAGCAGGGCTGCCAGCAGACAGGGGACCGGGAGACACGGCGGGAGGGGCCAGGTGGGGACTCGGAGGATGGGCCAAGACCAGTCCCTGTGCCTACCACAGCCTCATTGCCCACAGTTCCTTTCAAGGTGCACGAATTTGTGCACTGGGCCTCTAGTAGAAAATAATTCATTGTCTTTAAAAACAACATGACTTACCTCTACGCATCATTAATTCGATTATATGAATATGATTTGAATATGTATCTGTGTCTGCTAAATGCTTGAGTTTTAAATAAGATCACTTCATATTAATATCATCTGTTCCTTTTTCATTTAAATTAGTGAGAAAAAGTGAAGCTTCAAAGAGGTTTGAATCTAACAGTGGTCTCCCAGGAGTAGATGAAACGCCAAGTCAAGGCCAGTCACACAGACCAAGGTATGTCACCTGAAAAAGTAATACTAATGCGTTTCCTGGAAACAGTAACAGGTTTTTTGTTTTTGTTTTTATTAGAATCAAGTTCATATTTTTAAAAATTATCCTCTTTTCTCCATTTTTCCTTTTTCTTTCCCTCCTCTTTCCATACCCACAAAATTATTCAGTTATGTGAAGACATTGTAGTAGTTCAAGTTTGAGTTATTGGAATCTTTTAAAATTAGAATTGGCTCTGATTATTTATAGTTTGTGCTTGATTTTTAGAATTGTCAGTACTTATTAACAGTTAGGAAATTCTGAAGGCGTGGCATTAAACCTGTGGGAAGATAGCGAGTAATACCTCTTTTAAACGATTGAACAGGTTCAACAAGCAGGATTTCACTAAGTATTATTTGTTGAATGAATAATGAGGTTACTACTAAGTAACCTGTTATGTAAAAAGTTAATTATTCACTACGTTTATCCTGGTTTAAAAGAGGTCATCTTGTATTTTTTTTAAAGCCCACTTTGGGCTGTTAAGAGTTCATTTTTATACTGAAATACTCAGCTTTCTTATAAGGTATTAGGTATTATTCTTGTTCCAGACTTAGGATGGTGGTATTATAGCTGTGTATTAATTTACTTTGTTTAAACTGAAAAGTGTCAAGGCAGTAGTGACTGTTTGATGTGCATTCTTTTTGTGTGTGCAGAGGTCCCTTACATGAACAAAAGCACATTGCTAATGTTAAGCATTAATTTGAAATTTGTAATGTGATATTAGAGAACCAGAGGATGCTTTAGAACTTACACCCATACTATGGGAATCCTTTTAAATTCATTATTTCCATTTGTATCATTCAGGTGCCACCATATACAAAAGAATCATTTGGAAATTAACAAAACCTTGCCCCTTAGCCAATTAATTCTGGCAGACACTGTTTCACAGCTGTAAACCATTAATAGATCAGGTAACCCTAGCCATGTGATTAAAGGTTTAGACTCCAAGTAATTAAATACATTACAACAAAATTATCTTTAATGTTTAATTTTTATTAAATTTATGTAATTTCTGTTCTCTCTTATACCTTTTAATATAGTCTGTTTATTTTAGTTAAGTTTTATTTTACCTGAGGAAAGCCTTAATACGTATTTTTGTACCTAAGGGGACATTATATTTGCACAATGGCATTTTATATTGCTATAGCCCATAATAGTAATAGTAATTATATAATAGTAAATATAATAGTAATTGTGATGACCCTGTTTTTGTAATTTTGAACAAAGAGGTAAGAGAAAAGACAGATCTATGCTTGATATTGCACAGTTTTCTTAAAGAAGCAAAAGTGTTTGGGTATGAACACCAGGAAGAAGCAGATTGAATTGCACAAAGCTCTGTGTTAAATTGAGGAAGTCACTCTTCTCTATATGTGTAATTTGGAGAAAACTTATAGATAGTTAATATGAAACCCTTTTAGCTTGATCAAAAGTAGCAATAGAGCCCAGCTGGCATGGCTCAGTGGTTGAGTGTCTACCCAGGAACTGAAAGGTCACCAGTTCAATTCCAGTCAGGGCGTATGCCTGGGTTGCAAGCTTGATCCCGGTAGGGGGGCATGCAGGAGGCAGCCAATCAATGATTCTCTCTCATCATTGAAGTTTCTCTATCTCTCTCCCCTCCTCTCTGAAATCAATAAAAAAAAAAAATCTTTAAAAATAAGTAGCAGTAGAAAATAGCAACTGGAAGAATTATTGGGATTGTGTGTTAAAGATGAATTTATTTTATAATCAGTTTTAGTCATATAAAAACATATTCCTCCAAATAAAATTAAAACATTTTATGTGTCTTATTTCAATTTTCTTGATAAGCTATGTCAAAAGCATCAAGATTATGAGACTGTCTTAGTTTTTTGTTTTGTTTGTTTTTTGTCTAAGTTTTATATTGGAAACTTTAAGGTCATCTTAGCTCATCAAGTCATGTTTTAGTGAGAAACTATTTTTTATTTCACACTTTAAGAGGTAAACTCCCACCCTAACTGGTTTGGCTTAGTGGATAGAGCGTCGGCCTGTGGACTGAAAGGTCCCAGGTTCGATTCCGGTCAAGGGCATGTACCTTGGTTGTGGGCACATCCCCAGTAGGAGGTGTGCAAGAGGCAGCTGATCGATGTTTCTCTCTCATTGATGTTTCTATCCCTCTCCCTTCCTCTCTATAAAAAAATCAATAAAAAATATATTTTTTTAAAAAAGAGGTAAACTCCCAATGTGGTGTTCATTATACATGCATTAGATAAAAGGTATAGGTGAAAGAAAAATATTTCAAGAAGTAGATTGTTAGGTCTGTGCATATGTTATTTTTAATGTAAGATGCTAAATTTTACTCTTTTAGAATGGCAGTACCCACCTCCTTTTTAACTAAAATACTGTCCAAATTCCTTATTCAAGTGCAGAATTTCCTGAATGTGTACATAGTTTCTGATAATATCCTTAACATGCTGGTACACAATCAGGAGATCCTGTTTTGTTCTTGAGGTCACATATTTGTCAGATCTATAAATAGTGCTGTATTTAAACATGTTGCATGGTTCCTCATAAAACTTTCCATTCCCTTTAGCAAGTATGAAGTGAAAAACAGATACAGACAATGCTATTGATTTGTAAAACAGAGGGTATGCATAGGGGGAGATTTACAGGAAATTATGAGTCAGATGCCACAGAATGAGTAATTTTTGGATTCTGAGCTATCAAAAGTGTCTTTCAGTGATCAAAAAGGATATTCAAAGCAGTTTTCCAAAGAGCATTGCTAAGTGTTTTCCAGTGTTAACTTTGAATACAGTTTATACATGGTATAGTTCCCACTGCTTCTGTGCCTATCTGCTTGATGAGGTAATTTTTTTTTGTCTCAAAACAACCTATTCATTCATTCCTAAATGATTTCGTTTTTCTGAGTTTGTTTTTTTTTGTTGTTGTTGTTTTGTCTTGTTTGTCACTCAAACTTTTCAGTCGTTATAAGAACTTCTACCAAATATTATTTGGGACAGATAAAATAATTTGAATAAGAAGGCTGATATATTTGATGAAAAATAACAGGTAGAAATTATAATATATACATTTAAATTTTGTTCATTATCCTTGACTTATTAAGTGATATTTTTGAACCATCAAATTTAATCAATCATTTGTTCAACAAATGATTGTTGAACACCTACCATGTGCTGGATACTTCTAGATACTGGAGATAGAGACATGAACAAGATAAAAACTGTTCCTCAAGGGTCATTCTGGGGCTAAGAGATTGCCAATAAACCATTGAAAAACAAGTAAGTAATGCACCATTAGAGAGTGATGCTACTTCGAAGAAAAATAAGCAGTCTAAAGGGATAGAGAGTGCAGGGGTATGATGTCCAAGTTCTGTGTTGCATAGGCAGGGTGATCTGAGGAGGCATCTCCCGAGATGTTATATTTGAACAGAACACTATTTGAAATGAGGCAGTGAACCATGCAGATATCAGAAGCAAGAGGGTTCTAGACAAAAAGAACAACAAGAACAGAGGCCATGAGGTGTGGAAGATGTGTTGCATGTTAGAGGAGCAGCGAGAAGGACAGTGTGGCTGCAGCAGAGTGAGTGGAGGACAGAGTGGGTGGTAACCAGGACCCAAATCATGTCAGACCTCAGAAGCTGAGGTGAACACTTGGATGTTTTTCTAAGTATAATAGGAAGCCATTGGATGGTTGAAAACATAGAGAAATACAGACTGGTACAACCACTATGGAAAACAGTGTAGAGTTTCCTCAAAAAATTGAAAATGGAACTGCCATTTGACCCAGTGATCCCACTTCTAGGAATATATCCTCAGAAGGCAGGAACACCAATCAGAAAGAATATATGCACCCCTATGTTCATAGCAGCATTTACAATAGCTAAGATCTGGAAACAGCCCAAGTGCCCACCAATAATTGATGAATGGATTAAAAAACTTTGGTCCATTTACACAATGGAATACTATGTAAATGTAAAAAAGAAGGATCTCTTATCCTTTGGAACAGCAGGAGGGACCTGAAGAGTATCATGCTAAGTGAAATAAGCCAGTCAGAGAAAGACAAGTATCACATGCTCTCACTTATATATGGAATCTAATGAACAAAATATGATGAATAAAGAAGATCCAGAGACTTTGAAGCATACAACAGACTGATGTATTTCAGAGGGAAGGGGGTGGGTGGGAAGAGATTAACCAATGAATTTATATGCATACTAGAGGTCCGGTGCATGAAATTCGTGCACGGGTAGGGTCTCTAGGCCTGGCCGGTAATCAGGGCTGATCTGTGGGTCGATCGGTGGGGTGATCAGGGTCCCCCACTCACCAGCCCTGCCCCCTGCCACTGCCACCAGTTGCCTCCCTCTGTGGGGCAATCGGGGTCCCCGCTGGCACCCACCTTGGCCGTCCTGGCACCAACCATTCATTGGCCCCGCCCCCCACTGCCGCCACCACCACTGGTCATCTCCCCTTGCAGGGCGACCAGCAGGGCAATCTGGGGGCCCTGCTGGCACCTGCCTTGGCGGGCCTGGCACCACCCGCTCACCAGCCCTGCCCCCTGCTGCCGCTCTCCGTCGCCTCCCTCTCTAGGGTAACCAGCAGGGTAATCAGGGGGCCCCTGCTCGCGCCCACCTTGGCTGGCCTAGGGCCTGCGGGCTTGGGGCAGCTCCTATGTTGAGCATCTGCCCTCTGATGGTCAGTGCATATAATAGCAACTGATCATTCTGCTGGTTGTTCTGCCATTCAGTCAATTTGCATATTAGGCTTTTATTATTTAGGATATGCATAACCATAGTGTGGGGAAGTCCTGGGTGTGGGACAGGAGCAGGGTGGAAGAGGTCAAGGCAGGGGAAAGGGAGGATATCTGTAATACTCTAAACCAGTGGATCTCAACCTGTGGGTCACGACCCCTTTTGGGGTTGAACGACCCTTTCACAGGGGTCACCTAAGACCATCAGAAAACACATATATAATTACATATTGTTTTTGTGATTAATCACTATGCTTTAATTATGTTCAATTTGTAACAATGAAATTGGGGGGTCACCACAACATGAGGAACTGTATTAAAGGGTCACGGCATTAGGAAGGTTGAGAACCACTGCTCTAAACACTAAAGATATGTTTTTTAAAAAGCATAGAGAGCCAGAATCTAATTTACATTTTAGTGGGATTTTGAAGGTCTGGTCTGTTAAGAATGGATTTACAGGAGTAAGAGACCAGTTAGGAGGCAATTACAGCATCCCGTGTGAGATGTAAACAGCATAGGTTGTTAGTGATAGAGAAGAGTCAAATATAGATATCTTTAAGGTTGTGCCTTCAGGATTTGCTGCTGTATTTGATGTGGGATTTTCAAGAAAGAGGAATCAGAATGACTCCAAGTTGTTTCCTAAACAAACAGAAAATAATTGAGATATGGAAGGAGGTATCAATAATTTGGTTTTAGACATATTAGGCTAATGATACATATTAACATCCAAGTCAAACACTCACCTACGCAGGCGAATAGAATTAAAATTCAGGGGAGAGACTGGAGTTATAAGAACATAGGTGATTAGGACCAAGTGACTAAATGAGATGGAGTACATAGGAACTAGAAAAATCTGGAGGTCTGTGCACTGTTTTAGTCTAACATTAAGAGATTTGAAATGAAGGAGGATCCAGCAAAAGACACGAAAAAGGAGGAGCCTGTGAAGCAGATAGAAAATAAAGAGCATGGTTTCCAGAAGTCAAATGTTCCAAGAAGAAAAAAGATTGAGCAACTATGTCACATGGTACTTAGAGGTCAAGTACAATTAAAAATTGATAATTGTCCTATGGCTTTGACAGTATTTTTGTAACCAATTTTGGTGCAATAACAGGAACTATTGGTCAGAGTCTGAGAGAGTGGGAGATGAAGTAGAGGTAAAATTTAAATGACAGTTTTTAAGAGATTTACTCTAAATAACAGCAAAAAACAAATGAGATAGAATCTTAAAGATGATGTGGAACCAAAGGTGGGTAGTTTATTCTGAGTAGGAAATAGTATAGCATTTTTAATTCTAATGAGAATAACCTACTATACCAGACTATTGATGCATGTGAGAATAATAGCAGGAGCAAAGTCTTTGAGTAGGGGAAAGGGACTGAATCCCATGCACATAGAGGTTTTGGGTCTATGTAAGTGTGCAGAACATCCATTCATTGTAACAGAAGAGAAGGAAAAACACACGGATGTAATTTGGAAAGTTTGGTGGTTAAGGATGAGGAAGTTATTTCCTGATTGCTTCTTTTTTTTTTTAACCAAGAAAACCAAGGAAAAGCTGAGAGAGGAAGAGGGAGAGAGTATTGGAGCTTTGAAAAGAAAAGGAAAGAAGTGAAGAGATTATATAAAACTAGAGGCCTGGTGCATGAAATTCGTGTGGGGGGTGGGAGGGGTGGTCCCTCAGCCTGGCCTGCACCCTCTCCAATCTGGGACTCCTCGGGGGATATCCGACTCACAATCCAGGACTGCTGGCTCCTAACTGCTCACCTGCCTGCCAGCATGATTGCCCCTAACCTCTCTGCCTGCCTGCCTGATCCCCCTATTTTGCCCCTGCCAGCCTGATCCCCCTAACTGCTCTCCCTTGCCAGCCTGATCGCTCCTAACTGCCCTCCCCTGCCGGCCTGGTCACCCCTAACTGCCACTACCTCGGCCCCCACCACCGTGGCTTTGTCCAGAAGGATGTCCGGAAGATGTCCAGTCTAATTAGCATATTACCCTTTTATTAGTATAGATAGTTCTCTTAAGAAAATGAGTTGCCAGGCAGTGCTTGAGAGCCAGGTGAGATCAGTCAGCATGGTTCTGCAGTTTTACGAAAGTTCGGGTTTATGCAAAGGAGTGATTTTAATGATGGGCTTAGATTTCAAGCAATACATTGGCAAGAGAAGGGTGATAGCCAGAGAGAAAGTGATGGAGTAAATGGATTAAAATTCCTAATAGAGTCAATGAATTATTTGAAGAAAACTATTAGAGGAAGTGAGCTAGAAAAAATGAGATTATATAGAGATGGTATTGGAGGATAGAAATAGGAAATTTTAGAGTTGGCGTGGTTATTGTTAATAGCCAGTATGACCATAAGAGTCGGTTGCTGGTGGCAGTGAAGGAGGCCAGAGTGTTGGAGGACTCCTCAGCCTGTGTATACAAACCCACCATGAATGATGACAGAAGTAGAGGTGAAGAAAAAGACTGAGTCGGGCTTTTTTTAAAAAAAATCCTCACCTGAGGATATTTTTCCATCGCTTTTAGGTAGAGTAGAAGGTGGGAGAGAGGGAGAGAGGGAAAGAGAGAGACACGTCAATGTGAGAGACATCAATTAGTTGCCTCTCACATGGAAGTGCTAGGGATCAAGCCAGCAACTGAGGTACATGCTCTTGATTAGGAATCAAATCCCAGATGCTTCAGTGCATGGGCCAATGCTCTAACCATTGAACATAACTGGCCAGGGCTGGATTGGGCATTTAAGTCCTTAATAAATAAGGGGAGTCGACCAATCCTATATAATAAAAGCCTAATATGCTAAGTGTCCGGTCAACCAGTTGGCCCTTCAACCAATCAAAACATAATATGCTAATGATATGCTAAGGCAGCTGAACTGCTCACTATGACATGCACTGACCACCAGGGGGCAGACGCTCTAACCAGTAGGTTAGCTTGCTGCTGGGGTCCTCAGCGAGAGGGGCTGGACATGCCCTGGAGCCCTCCTGCAGTCCCTCCCTGGCTGGCCAACCTCCCGCGTTTCTCCCAGGCCTTGATCATGCACCGGTGGGGTCCCTTGGCCTGGCCTGCGCCCTGTCGCAATCCTGGACTCCTTGGGGGATTTCAGAGAGCTGGTTTTGGTCCAATCCCATAGGGGTAGCACTACTCAGCCAGAAGCTGGGCTCATGGCTGGCGAGCACAGTGGCAGTGGCAGGAGCCTCTCCCACCTCCGCAGCAGCACTAAGAATGTCTGACTGACGGCTTAAGCCCTCTCCCCCCGAGTCGGACATCCCCCAAGGGCTCCTGGACTGTGAGAGGGTGCAGGCCAGGCTGAGGGACCCCCTGAGTGCACGAATTTCGTGCACTGAACCTCTAGTCCTAAATAATAAAAGCCTAATTTGCAAATTGTTCCCTCTACCAGGAGTTTGACCAGGGGGCGGAGCCAGCCAGCCAACCACAGAAAGGGAGGCCCCGGCCAGCTACAGGCAACCCACCAGAGGAAGGGATGCTGTAGCTGGCTGCTGCTAGGGACCCTACCCATGCACGAATTTCATGCACTGGGCCTCTAGTAGAGACAATAAATGTCTAAAGCAAAGCAGAGCTGTGGATGGTATGATTTCATAGCATGTACTTCAAGGAACCTGGGGCTTAATGGAGGAGCGTGACTAATCATCTGGAAGCTGAAATTAGTATTAAGAGGAATCTCAATCCCATCACCAGGCCCAGGTTTTCAGGACTGTAAGTGTAGAACAGCTCAGTTGGCTGAGCATTGTCCTATGCAGCAAGAGGTCACTGGTTTAATTCCCTATCAGGGCACATGCCTGGGTTGCGGGCTCACTAGCGTGCAGGAAGCAATCAATGGATACTTTTCTCTTTGATGTTTCTCTATCCCTCTCCCTTCCTCTTTCTCTAAAAATTGAATTTAAAAAACATATTTTTTTAAAAAAGGATAAAACAGCCCCAATCTGAGAGAGTTCTAGGGGAAGCAGTTTTCATAGGATGCTACATGTTCAGAGGAGAGGTGGAGAAAATAGATACACCCACAGAAAGTGGGACAGCATATTATATCAGTACATTAAAAGTAGAACTGAGCCCTAATTGGTTGCAGGTTCTATCCCCTGCCCTAGTTGGGGCACATGCAGGAGGCAACCAATCGATGTGTCTCTCTCACATCGATGTTTCTCTCTCTCTACCTCTCCCCTTCCCTTCCACTCTCTCTAAAAATTAATGGAAAAATATCCTCTGGTGAGGATTGAAAAGAAGTAGAACTGCAAGGGTTCTTCTGAGATGACAAATATAAAATTTGTTTAAATTCTTGATTACTTTATTTAACATGGTTTTTATTTTTTTAATAGGTTTTATTGATTTTTACAGAGAGGAAGGGAGAATGATAGAGAGAAACATCAATGAAAGAGAAACATAGATTGGCTGCCTCTTGTACGCCCCCTACTGGGATTGAGGCCACAACCAGGCATGTGCCCTGACTGGGAATCAAACCAGTGACCTCCTGGTTCATGGGTTGAAGCTCAATCACTGAGCCACACCAGCCAAGCTAACTTGGTTTTTATTGATTAGACTTAAAATAACTGTTTTCTTCCCCATCCTTACTTTTCTCCACTTTTTTTATATAGCAGACAATATGAAACACCCCTTGAAGGCAACTTAATTAATCAAGAGATTATGCTAAAACGGCAAGAAGAAGAAATGATGCAGCTCCAAGCTAGAATGGCCCTTAGACAGTCTCGGTTGAGCCTTTATCCAGGGGATACAATCAAAGCTTCCATGCTTGACATCACCAGGGATCCTTTAAGAGAAATGGCTCTAGAAACAGCCATGACTCAAAGAAAACTAAGGGTAAGTTGATTCTCAGATTACTGCATCTGAACTTTGTCTCATGGGGAAACGTTATGCAAAGAATCTTAAATATTCTATAGAGATCCTAAAGTTGCCTGTAAATGAAATTGAAATCTCACGTTAGTTTTCATAGCTGGCTTTATTCAGCATTGTGGGGATCATTTTTTAATAAGAAATTCATTATATCAAAACCCAAGAAGAGCAGATAGATGTTCAAGGTTAGTTCAGAAGCTCATGAATGTTATCAAGGACATTCCGTCTTTCTGCTCTGTCATTTTCAGAATTGTGGCAATAATTCACTTTATAGTCATGGTAGCTCCAAGCATATACCCTCATATTACAATATCCAAACACAAGGATAAACAAATATGCATTTTATATCTGTGAGGGATTTTTTATGTGTTTCCGTTGGTTTATTTTTGTTTCAATATATGCCATTTATTTTTATAAACATAAGCTCAAAATGAGCAGACTTCTTATTTCATGTAAAATATCTTGGAAAATTTTACAACTTCTATAATATTATTGTTAAGGGCAGTAAAGTATTCCATTTTGTGAATTTACCATGTACCATAATTATTTTTCCTTTTAAAAAAATATATGTTTATTGATTTCAGAGAGGAAGGAAGTGGGGGAGAGAGAAACATCAATGAGAAAGAATCATTGATCACCTGCTTCCTGCACACCCCCTACTGGTCCACAGACCAAGGCTGGCTAGGGCCCATACTTTCTTTAATAAGTTTCTAATTATTGGACATTTTAAATTTTTCTAATTTGTTATTTTTTTTTATTGCTATTGCAAGCATTGCTCCTTTGAACATCCCTATAGCCAAATCTTTGCAAATATGTTCCTCCAAATAAAATAGCCAAATCAAAGGCAACACCTTTTAAGACATTTGACACATATTATTAAATTGCCCTCTTCAAAAAGTTTATACTAATTTATGCTTTTATGATCATGCCTGTTTCACTGTATTCTTACCTACTCCAGATATTATCATCCTCATCACCACCAATTTGGTAGGTGAGGCAATCTTTCATTTGTATTGTTCCTTTACAAATCATTCTTCAAAAGCAAAATAAATACTAGTAAAAGGGATAAAATCTAGAATTATTTTTTTTCTTTTTTTGTTCTGCACTCAGAAAATATATTACCCTCTTCTGTTTTGTTTTAATTTTTAAAATCTGGAATTGAGTTGTAATTGATAAGACACTGTCCCATTTTAAAGTTATTAAATTCCAATAAACATACTGAATTTGTTTTAAACTGAAAAGAAGGTACTTTATTATCCTATATAATTAAGTGATAATATGCAAATTGACCATCACACCCTCACAAGATGGCTGCCTGTGACCAGGCCGGCAGGGAGGTTAGTGAGGGACAACCAAACAACTGAACAACAGGCTGCATGGGGTGACCAGGCTGGGAGGGGGGCTGTGAGGGGCAACCAGGCCGGCAGGGGGGGCTTTTGGGGGTTACCAGACCATCAGGGGACAACCAGGCTGGCAGGGGGGGGGGGGTGCAGTTAGGGGCAACCAGGCTGGTGGGGGGTGGTGCAGTTAGGGGCGACCTGGCCAGCAGCAGGGGGCAGATAGGGACTACCAGGCCGGCAGGGGTGGGCAGTTAGGGGCCATCAGGCCGGCACACAGAGGCAGTGAGATGATCAGGCTAGTAAGGGTGGGGGGGGCAGTTAGGGGTGACCAGGCAGGCAGGCAGGTGAGCGATTAGGAGCCAGTGGTCCAGGATTGTGAGAGGGATGTCCCCCGAGGGGTCCCAGATTAGAGAGAGTGCAGGCTGGGCTAAGGGCCCCCCCCCTGCCCAAATTTCATGCACTGGGCCTCTAGTTACAAAAAATATCTTTGTCAAAATTAGGCAATAGGCAGGGTCTCATACTAAGTTTAATTATCAGAAGCATGAGCTTCTGATAATTAAAGGCACACATAAAGCATAAAAGGCACACATATATACACATCACTTTCCTAAATCATAGAATTTATGTAAAACTTTGGCTCATTAGAGATTCATATAAATGGCAGTCTGTACCCTTACAATATGCCACTATTACGTGTCATCCCACTAAAAACCTGTGCTGTCATATAGGCAGTCAGTGCCTGGCTATTGTGAAAACACTTTATCAGAGACATGCTTTATTAGTGACTAGAGAATTTGAACTGCTGGTCATTAAATGGTCACATGGTGGGATGGTGTTTGTTGTTGTTTTCTGAAAAGAGCAAGAAGGGTATGTTTTGGGGGCTGAATAAGAGTACTAGTATTAGAGGAACAATTCCACAAGTGAATTAATGTTCTTTCCCAAAACATAAATTTTTATTTAATTTTGTTTTTATATAACTCTTGATGCAGACACATTTTAACTTGTTCATACCCTGTTGCCGTAGTTGATCTATATTAAATTCTGTTTCCCATGGCAGGCCATTCTCATTTTTTTCTGCTCTATTTCTATTCTTGTTTAAAATGTGCCCTATTGGTTCATTCGTTGATTATTAACAAACCCATAATGTTAAACTTTTACTTAAATGGTATCTGTCATGTTTCACACTTGGTTAATTGGGTAGAATTCCCACACCGAGCAATAAAATGATCTGTACAGCCGAATGCAAAGAAAAAAACAACATAAAAATAAAACTTCCGGAGCCTCCATGAGTTCATACCCACACACCACCTGCCTTTGGCTTCAAGATTAGCCCTGCTTTTTTCCCACCTTTTGTCCATTTGGACATAGTCTTTCAATCTATTCTGATCCTACTCTGACCTGGAGTCTATCTTGATTTAAGATATCTCCTCAATCAGTTCTGCCCTCTGGGCAGAAACCCTGGATATACAGTAGGTCAAGGTAAAGAGTACATTGAGAAGCAATAACTGTGGTGTGTGGACTCCACTTTCTCCCTCTCCCAAGTCCTCCCAGCTCCTGAGATAGGATTTTCTTACTTGAGACAGCAGTAAGGGGCAGAAGCTATGATACATATACTATCCCTAATAGTCAGTATTTTGAACAAAAGAATAGTGTCACAGGGTTCCAAGAACATACTTACAGATGGATATGAATATTTTGTAATCACAAATGTATATTTTGACAATCACAGTATTTTATATATTTTGGTTTTTTAATTATGACTTGTTTTAGGACAGATTCAGTCTCACTCTCTAAAACAGTGAGATTCTGTACAATCCCTTCACACATTAGCAATATTAAACCACATCCTTAATGAGCTTGAAACTCTATATTACTTCAACCATTAAGACTGCTATTGTGCTTTTAAGAGTCTGAGTCATTTTGGAGTCCAAAAATGGAAAATCTTGTGAAACAGTATAAAACTAGGCTTTTCATTTGACATCACTGGTAGAAAACAGAGCTGAGGAAAAGCTTCTGTCCACACTGAGTGTAAGGCACCTTCCCTTCCTGGTCTGGTCAACTCCACTGTCCTCCTTTATTGAAAGTTTCTGCTTTTGTTTCAGGTCACCTACTTCTAATCAGGTTGCTTTACATGTAATTTATTTTTATTATTACATTATTTCTTTTGAAGGAAAGAGCTAGAATAATTAAATCTCTTAATTTTACTTATTATGTGATTTGCAGAATTTCTTTGGCCCCGAGTTTGTGAAAATGACGATAGAACCTTTTGTATCTTTGGATTTGCCACGGTCTATCCTTGTAAGTAATAAAACCAATTTGTATCACTCTTAGAAAATAATTTCAGTAATGATTTGAAGGAAAAAAAAACAGTTGAAATTCTTACAAAGTTTACTTTAATAGATGCCATTCTTTTTTCTTTTTTTTTTTTTCCAATTGTAGACAAAGAAAGGGAAGAATGAGGATAACCGAAGAAAAGTAAATGTAATGCTCCTGAGTGGGCAGAGATTGGAACTGACTTGTGATACCAAAACCATATGTAAAGATGTGTTTGATATGGTTGTGGCCCATATTGGCTTGGTGGAACATCATTTGTTTGCTTTAGCTGTCCTCAAAGGTACCAAAATTTTTAAATTCGGGTTGCAATATGAAAACTTGGCAACAATTTGACTGACTTGTTATGCCCAACCTTGCTTTGAGAAATAGTAATTACATAAACATTCAGCAGGGAGGAGTAGGAGTCTAGGAACTCCCTTCCTTCTTCTAACTAGGTACATTGTTTTTGTTTTTTGTTTTCTTCCTTTTTTCCATTGATTTTTAGAGAGAGTGGAAGAGAGAGGGAAAGACAGAGAGAAACACATGGATTGGTTGCCTCCTGCATGAGCCAACAACCAGGGCCCAGGCTGGCAACGAGCCTGCAACCAAGGTTTGTGCCCATGGCTGGACTTGAACCCAGAACCCTTCAGTCATAGGCCGATACTCTATCTACTGAGCAAAACCAGCTAGGGCAAGATGCATTGTTTTAGTGGCTGTGTCTTTTTTGTATCTTCTGCCCTTGATTATGAAGATTTTTCTTTGGCTTTTGGCTATATAAAAATGGATTTTAATTGTTATATTTTGAGGACCATTATATATGTCAATTGCCTGCTTATGTATTCTAGAAGTTAGTATCCTGCTAATAGGACTATATAGCAGGACCCTATTTCATAATCTTCACTTCACCTTCTTTAGCCTACTATCCTAAAATATACAGTGTCTTTATAAATGTTGCTGGTGGATGACTGAAAATATGACTTCACATATTTTCTCCTCATCTGATCCACTTTCACATCTATAGTGGCTCAGAGCACAGCTTCACTGGAAGTCGCTCCTGATTGTCAGTTAGAATTTCCATAGCAATAAGAAGCCCTTTGTAGTTGGGCTTAATAAGTCTCTTTAAATTGTTATGTTTATAAATTGCTCTTTAATGTTTCAGATTCCTGTTTACCTCAGAATTTATCTTAGAAAGCTTAGACAACGAAGTACCATAAATTATAATTGAAGGATCAAACCATCCTGAAACCCTGCCAGATCAGGATAAGAGAAATATTTCTTTTAATTCAGTTTATTGAATTCTTTTCTTAAAAACTAATACTCCATTTTGTAGTCATCCAGTAAATATTCAATTAGTGCCAATTGGTTTTCTTTCACTTTACTAATTACAATTTTATGCTAAATAGATAATACTAATTAAAGATATTCAATTAATTAAAATTTCTATATATAATATACCTAATTTCTTAAACATTCTGGATAAATCAAATTTTAGTGAATAATCTATTATTTGGAGAGGGTCAATAATACTTAAGTGATGATTTAAAAAAAATAACTCTGGCCAGTTTTGCTCAGTGGTTAGAGTATCAGCCCTCTTACTGAAGGGTCATGGGTTCCATTCCCAGTCCAGGGCACGTACCTTAGTTGCAGGTTCGCTCCCTGCCCCTAGTTGGGGGCAGGAGGCAACTAGTCGATGTGTCTCTCTCAAATTGATGTTTTTCTCTCCCCTCCTCTTCCTTCCCTTTCACTCTCTCTAAAAACTCAATGGAAAAGAATATCCTTGGGTGAGGATTAAAACAAATAATAATAATAAAATAAATTTTTAAAATGATGACTGTTCTTCCTAGATTTCAGCTGGTAGCTCAGTATCCTCCTGTATAATAAAACCCTAATATGCAAATTGTCCTCTTGACTGGGAGTTCGATTGGGAGTTCGACCAGGGTGTGGGGCCAACCAGCCAACTGCCCGCAGCTCCTTCCCCCAGCTGGCCCCGCCCCCTATTGGCCCTCCCCACCCTGATCAGGGGTGGGGCCAGCCAGCCAACCTCCTGTGTCTCCTTACCCTGGCAGTGCATGAATTCGTGCACTGGGCCTCTAGTAATAAATAATAACTAATGTTTATTGAATGCTTACCATGTGCCACACACTTTACCAAGTGTTTTATATCCATTATGTCATGTGATCCCTACAACAGCCTTATAAAGTAGGAATTGCAGGAAATGGCACTATCCTCATTTTACAGACAAGAAAATTGATGTCTAGAGAGGTTAAGTTTATTCATTATTACATAGATAGCAAATGATGTGGCCAGAAGTTAAATTCAGGTTTATCTGTCTTCAAACCCCTCATTCTTTATTTTTTTTTTTTCCTGTGGTTGTTAATCCTCACCCGAGGATATCTTTCCCATTAATTTTTAGAGAGAATGGAAGGGAGGGAGTGGGAAGAGAGAGAGAAACATTGATGGGAGAGAGAAAAACATTGATGTGAGAGGGACACATGAATTGGTTGCCTCCTGCACCCAACTGGGGCCAGGGATTGAACCTGCAACTCAGGTACATGCCCTTGACCAGAATTGAACCTGAGATCCTTTGATGCATAGGCCAACACTCTAACCACTGAACCACACCCATTAGGGCAAGACCTCTCATTCTTTTTTTAACTATATTTGTATTAATTTCAGGGAGGAAGGGAGAGGCAGAGAGAGAGATAGAAACATCAATGATGAGAGAGAATCATTGATCAGCTGCCTCCTGACATCCCCCACTGGAGATTGAGCCCACAACCCTAGAATGTGCCTTTGACCAGAATCGAACCCGGGACCCTTCAGTCCACAGGCTGACGCCCTAGCCACTGAGCAAAACCGGCCAGGGCAAGACCCCTCATTCTTAAAAGACTAAGCCATATTGCCTCAGAGCACCCTGTCATATTTCTTCATAATTTTATTTTATTCAATATTTCTTTTATCTGAATGTTTTCTTATTTTGTTTTAGATAATGAATATTTCTTCGTGGATCCTGATTTAAAATTAACCAAAGTGGCCCCAGAGGGATGGAAAGAAGAACCGAAGAAAAAGAACAAAGCCACTGTTAATTTTACTTTGTTTTTCCGAATTAAATTTTTCATGGATGATGTTAGTCTAATCCAGTGAGTACGCAAGAGTTTCTATTTTTCTCTTCTTGACCCCTGGGTTTTTGACCCGTTAGTTTACTGATACTGAACTATTTGATCTGATCAATTATAATGTTTCCTTTATCATAAAAGAAATAATTTCTTCGGCATCGTTTATTCAATAATTGTGGCTTAAAAGCTTCATTATAAACTGTCTTGGAAACTAAACTTATCTGCCAATAATACAAATTACCTCAAGATTGAGGATAAAGCCCAGATGTCTTGTGTTTGTATTTATTTTCCAGACATACTCTGACCTGTCACCAGTATTATCTTCAGTTGCGAAAAGATATCTTGGAGGAGAGAATGCACTGTGATGATGAAACCTCTTTACTGTTGGCCTCCTTGGCTCTCCAGGCTGAGTATGGAGATTATCAGCCAGAGGTGGGATATTTTTTTTCTCCAGGACCACTTTTGCATTACTGTTCTTATTCTCAGCATAATTAAAGACTAAATCTAGTTGAGGTGTTGGCTGTTTAGATCTAGAGATTTTTGAAGCTAGTTTGGTACTTCAAAATGACCAAGTTCCCCATGTACTTTGGTTATATACAATCATACACTGTGGGATTTCTTTCCTCCCTTCCTTCCTTCCTTCCTTCCTTCCTTCCTTCCTTCCTTCCTTCCTTCCTTCCTCCCTCCCTCCCTCCCTCCCTCCCTCCCTCCCTCCCTCCCTCCCTCCCTCCCTTCCTCCCTCCCTTCCTCCCTTCCTTCCTTCCCATCAGTCTATCTTTTTTTAAATTAGCCTATTTCAGAGTTTCGGGCTATCTAACATTTACCCTTTTCCCAATTTCTACCTGGTAGATACTAACTAGACACAGAGTTACCAGTCAAATCTGGATCAAAGGGATCTTCTACTTTCCACATGGATCCATGCAGTAATGGGCTGAGAGCTCAGCAGAGTTCACTGTATGGAGAATAGATGTTCAAGCCCAAATATTCTAGAATTTAAGTGGATTTAAGAGGGAGCAAGAGACTATACCACTCAAGCAGCATCCTACAGAACATTAACCCTATAGTGACATTTGGCTCGCCTCAAGTTTTCCAATCAGTTCAGTCATACTACCTCACTGAATAAAAGAGAGAGAGACTGATGCATTTCCTTTAAAACTCACTTCTCAGAGAAAAGTATAAATAGAGGCATCTTATCTCTTGGTTGAGGCAAGAACTTTTAAGTAGGAGGAAAAGGGCAAACAATTGCTTACAAAAATATTCTCCTTTCTAGGTTCATGGTGTGTCTTATTTTAGACTGGAGCATTATTTGCCTCCCAGAGTGATGGAGAAACTTGATTTGTCCTATATTAAAGAAGAGTTGCCCAAATTGCATAATACCTATGCAGGAGCTTCTGAAAAAGAGACGGAGTCAGAATTTTTAAAGGTAACTACACAAGATTATAGTGATAAGCTTTGTATCTGTTTCAAAGTAAGCAAGATGCCAATAAATGATACTATGAATTATCTCATTTTATTTATTCCTGACTAAAATCATGGTATTTTAATTCTTTTGTAAATGAGGGAACTGAGACTCAAAAAGGCTATTATGTGGGGTAAAACTCTGATTTGAACCCGTATCTATCTGTCTATGGATTCCATGCTTCATGCTTTTTATGTCCCATCTAAGAAATCTTTGTCTAACCCACAGTGACAAAGAGTTTCTAAGTTTTATAGTTTAGCTCCTATATGTAAATCTGTGGTTCATTTTGGGGTTAATTTTCATAGATTGGGTGTAATAAGGATTGAGATTCATTTTCTTGGCGTGTGAATATTCAATTGTTTTTGCAACATTTGTTGAAAAGACTACCCTTTCTGTATTAAACTACATTGGTACAAGTTCTGTATCTTTTTGTCACCTCTTAGCAAGGTGTATGGTATTGTTCCAACAGGTCTGCCAAAGACTGACAGAATATGGAGTTCATTTTCACCGGGTGCACCCTGAGAAAAAGTCACAAACTGGAATATTACTAGGAGTCTGTTCTAAAGGTGTCCTTGTATTTGAGGTTCACAATGGAGTTCGAACATTGGTCCTTCGCTTTCCATGGAGGGAAACCAAGAAGATTTCATTTTCAGTATGTCTAATTTAACCCCATTTGATTATATTTTTAAATAGGCGTTCTCAATTTCAAATGTAACATATTAATTGACTTTACTTAAATTTAAAACCTTGTCATTCAGTAGGACTAATATGCCTTAATATTTTGTATTTCACTCTTCTTTCTTAGCTGTAGGAAGTATTATTGAGGTTTGTTTTTGGTTTTCTCAGGAAGTGATTTAAAAAACAATATTAGACATTCCTAGCTGGTTATATGCTCAATTAACTTCAGTTAAATTGCAACCTAGTTGACTTTTCTGTTAATTCAGAACTTATTCTAGGGTATTAACTTCTCACATGGAGAAACCCCTTTAATGTATTTAAGATAGATAACTATTTTAACCACAGTGAACTTTGTCTTGCCCAATAATAGGCCCCTCACAGCAACTATTTGAATCTCAGTGGTCTAGAGATTTACTTGATTTTATGAACTAATCCCAGAACTTTCTGCAGTTTTAAGTTTTAGTGTATATTCTCTATAGACATAAAGTTAGAAAAGTATATTTAGAAAATCACGTTTATGAAAGATAGTGAACTATAAAGGCGTATTTTTATTCTGACCATTGGAAAGCAATTGGCAAACCCCAGAGATGAGTCAGAAATATATTCAGGTATTTGTTTTTTTAATGATATTCAGGAACTACTGACATCTTTAGTTTATGTTTGAGCAGAAATATAGTCTCATCCAACAATGTTTATAAAAATATCAATAACAAGGCCCCAACTGACTCTGAATAATCTTCAACCTAGAGACTTTTGAGATCAATTATAGACCTAATTGTTAGTTGATTGGTTTCCTCTGAAACCTGGTAAACTAAGATTACCAGGTGATATGTTCAACTGGTAAGCCCAGACCATCCTCATCTTCTCAAGGTGGTCAAGACCAGAAACTTACCTGGATTTATAACGAATTAAACTGTTTCACAAATATTGTACCAACCTTGCATCCCGGAATAAATCCCACTTGATCATGGTGTATGATCTTTTTAATGTATTGCTAATACATCCAGTTTGCTAATATTTAGTTGCAGATTTTAGCATCTATGTTCATCAGGGATATTGGCCTATAGTTTCCCTTTCTTTGTAGTGTCTTTCTCTGGTTTTGGAATTAGTATAAAATTGGCCTCATAAAAAGAGCTTGAAAGTCTTCCCTCCTATTGAATTTTTTTTGGAATAGTTTGAGGATAGGTGTTAGTTCTTCTTTGGGTGTTTGGTAAAATACACCTGTGAAGCCATCCGGTCCAAGACTTATGTTTGCTGAGAGTTTTTTATATTATTTTATTACTACTTCAGTTTCATTAGTTGTAATCAGTCTAATCAGGTTTTCTAATTCTTCCTGATTTACTTTTGGAATATTGTATGTTTCTAGACATTTGTCCATTTTGTCCAGGTTGTCCAATTTGTTGGTATATAACTGGTCATAATATTTTCTTCCAATCCTCTGTATTTCTGTGGTGTCAGTTGTTACTCCTCTTTCATGTCTCTCTTTGTTTATTTGGGTTCACTCTATTATTTTTCTTGATGAGTCAGGTTAAAGAGTCATCAGTTTAGTTTATCTTTTCATAAAGCCAGTTCTTGGTGTCATTGATCTTTTGTATGTTTTTTTTTCCAGTCTCTATGTCATTTATTTACACTCTGATCTTTATGATTTCCTTCCTTCTACTTACTCTGGGCTTTGTTTATTGTGTTTTGGGTTTTTTTTCTAGTTCTTTTAGGTTGTAGGTTTAGATTATTTATTTGAGGTAGGCCTATAATGCTATGAACTTCCCTTTCAGGACTGCTTTCTCTGTGTCTCATAGATTTGGGATTGTTGTGTGTTCATTTTAATTTGTTTCCAGGTCATTTTTAATTTCTTCCTTGATCTCATTGTTAACCCATTCACTGTTTAATAACATGCTGTTTAGCCTCCATGTGTTTTAATGTTTTTCAGTTTCTTTTATTGTAATTGATTTCTACTTTCATACCATTGTGGTCAGAGAATTTACTTGATGTGATTTCAATCTTCTTGAATTTGTTAAGACTTATTTTGTGTCCTAACATGTGGTCTGTCTTTAGAATGTTCCATGTGTACTTGAGAAGGATGTGTATGCTGCTGCTTTGAGATGAAATGGTCTGTAAATATCAATTAAATCCTGCTGATCCAGTGTGTCATTTAAGGTTTCCATTGCCTTATTGATTTTTTTGTCTGGAAGATCGCTCCATTGATGACAGTGAGGTGTTAAAATCTTCTACTATGATTGTATTGCTGTCGTTCTCTCTCTTAATTTCCACCAAGATTTTCGTTATACATTTAGGTGCTCCTATGTTGGGTGTATATATGTTTACAAAGGTTACAACCACTCACTGGATTGATCGCTTTAGTATTATGTAATGACCTCTTTATCTCTTGTTAATGGCCTTTGTTTTGACGTGCATTTTGTCCATGTATAAGAGTTGCTACTCCAGCTTTTTGTTTGTTTGTTTCCATTTGCATGGAATAATTCCTTTCCATCTCTTCACTTTCAGTCTGTGTATTTTTTTGTTCTGAGGCTGATCTCTTGTAGACAGCGTATACAGTGGAACCTCATTTCCCAAACTTAATTCGCTTGGAAGGTTGTTCAAAAACCAAATCATATTTTCCCATTAGAAATAATTTAAATGAAATTAATCCATTCCAGACCCCCAAATGATTCCCTGTTTTAACCTTTCTTATATACAGTACATGTCTACTGTTTAATCTATAAATAAACACTTTAAAAACAAAAAGGACATGAAATGTAAATGAAAATTTAACAAAAAGGAAATGAAATGTACAGTAAAAAAAAATCAAAATATAATAATAATAATAAGCAGCAACAAAAGCAAAAAAAACACACAAAAATATTCATAACACAATATCCTGAGATTTTAACAGTGGTAAACTGACTCATACTTGCACATTCTCTCCTTTGTCACCTGAGAGACATGTGACTGATCATTTAAGTATCAGCATAAAAAGCATTGTCAGGTTGAGAAGCAAATTGTTCGAGATGGGAGACATTTGAGAATCTAGGTTTGATTGCATCATTTTTTCTTTTCTTTTTTTTTCTTTTTTTATCCTCACCTGAGGATATTTTTTTATTGATTTTAGAGAAAGAAAGAGAGAGAGAGAAACATTTATGTGAGAGAGAAACATCGATTGGTTGCCTCCCGTACACGCCCTAACCAGGGATCAAACCCTCAACCTTCGATCTAGGTATGTGCCCTGACTGGGAATCGAACCCTTAACTTTTTGGTGTATGGAACAGCACTCCAACCAAGTGAGCCACTGTCCAGGGCCTGAGTCATATTCTTATCCATTCAGTTACCTTATGTCTTTTCATTGGAGCATTTAATACATTTACATTTAAGGTTATTATTGATAGGTGTATATAGCCATTTTATTCTTCATATCTATGTTCCTCTCGCTCTGTGTTTCTTTTTTTCTTTTTCTTAAAGTAGGCCCTTTAACATTTCTTTCAATACTGGTTTGGTGGTAATGAATTCCTTTAATTTTGGGGGGGGTTTTTTTTGTGTGTGTGTGTGTTTTTTGTCTGTGAAGCTCTTTATTTTGCCTTCAGTTTTGTTTTTTTGTTTGTTTTTTTGTTTTTTTTTAATATATTTTATTGATTTTTTACAGAGAGGAAGGGAGAGGGATAGAGAGTTAGAAACATAGATGAGAGAGAAACATCGATCAGCTGCCTCTTGCACACCCCCTACTGGGGATGTGCCCGCAACTAAGGTACATGCCCTTGACCAGAATCGAACCTGGGACCCTTGAGTCCACAGGCTGATGCTCTATCCACTCAGCCAAACCGGTTAGGGCTGCCTTCAGTTTTAATGACAGACTTGCTGGATAGAGTAATCTTGGTTGTAGGTCCTGGCTTTTCACCATTTTTAATGTTTCATGCCAATCCCTCTGCCTGAAGTGTTTTTATTGAGAAATCAGCTGAAAGTTATGGAAACACCTTTGTAGGTACTAATTGCTTTATTCTTTTGGCTTTTAAAATTCACTCTTTGTCTTTAATCTTTGGTATTTTAATTATGATATGTCTTGCTGTGGCCCTCTTTGGGTTCATCTTGATTGGGACTCTCTATACTTCCTATACTTGTATGACTTTTTCCTTCACGATTTAGGGAAGTTTTCAGCCATTATTTCTTAAAACTGGTTCTCTATCCCTTGCTCACTCTCTTCTTCTTCTGGGACCTCCTATGATATGGATGTTGTTATCTTGTCATTGTCCCAGAGGTCCCTTAGGCTTTCCTCACTTTTTTAAATTCTTTTTTTCTAATCCTCACCTTAGGATATTTTTTCCTAAGGTGATTTTCAGAGAGAATAGAAAGAAGGGGAGGATAGGAGAGAGTTGGGGGAGAGAGAAATATCAATTTGAGACAGACACATCGATTGGTTGCTTCCCTCACGTGCCCCAACCAGGGCCTGGAATCAAACCTACAACCCAGGTATGTGCCCTTGACAGGAATCGAACCTGTGACCCTTCATTGTACAGGCTGACATTCTAACCACTGAGCAATGCCAGCCAGGACCTTTTTTCTTTTTGATGCTCTGCTTGGGTACTTACTGGTATCTTGTCCTCTAAATTGCTGATTCGCTCCTCTGTTTCATCTAACCTGCCATTTATTCCTTCTAGTGTATTCTTCATTTCTGACTAGTTATTTTTTATGGTTTCTGTGTCCTTTTTAATTCTTACAATTTCTTTAAGTTCTCACTGAGATCATCCATTCTTCTACTAAGGTCCCTGAATAGTCCTATAACCATTGTTCTAAACTCTTCATCTGGTATTTTGATTGCTTCCATTTCATTTGATACATTTTCTAGGGTTTCTCTTGCTCTTTCTTTTGAGGCACATTTCTTTGTCTCCCCATCTTGTCTCTCTGTATTAGGTAGATCTGCTATGACTCCCAAAATTGTTATAATGGCTTTATGATGAAGGTATCTTGATGGGAAATTGGCCCCAATTCAATCAAACCATTTAGTCTCTGCTAGAGTCTCCAGTTCTAGTTCGTTGGACAGGCTCACTACAGGCTCAGGTTGGGTGCAGCCAGCCATCCCCTCTGCAGGAGCAAGCTCAGCCTGGCAGAGTCACCAAGTTCAGGGGGACAGATCAAGAGTCTCTTGTGTGATGCTGGTCTAGCCCACAGAAGGGGGGCAAGCACTTTGTCCTAGTCCCAAACAATAGCTTCCCAGACACTCACATTCTGAATGTCCCAGCTCTCACTCCCCCCTGCAGAGCACGTTATCTGGAATTTGGAAGAGTAGATTCAAACAGTCTCCCTTTGGGGGTGGTGCCTGCAAACCTGTAGGAGGGGATTGGTCACCTCTTCTCCCTCCTGGGGTAGCATGGGGTTATCTCACAGGGGAGATAGAAGTGGTCCCCCTGTAACGTGGCCACACAACCCCACACCCACCCATCTGTTTCCTAGACAAAGTTTCTGCAGGAGATGTGCACCAAAAGTCCCAGCTCTGCATAGCACTCTGGCTTCCCTGAGCAGCTGAACTCAACAGGGTGGGGCCAGCCAAGTGATTCATCAGGTTGTCAGGGTGGGTGCTGGCTCTGCACACCAGGCTGGGGAGACCCGTCCCCTTTTTAAAGCCACAGTCACTGAGTCTCTGCCAAGAGCCTGCCCAGAAAATGAGGGCTCCAAAGATCACTGCTGGGTGCAGCGAGCAGATCCCTCCGCAGGGAGTTTTGCAGTTGAGATACCCTCCAGCCTCTCAGCCCCTCACCTGGGGTTTCCTCATTTTTTTAAATTCTTTTTTTCTAATCTTCACCTTAGGCCATTTTTTCCTAAGGTGATTTTCAGAGAGAATAGAAAGAAAGGGAGGATAGGAGAGAGTTAGGGGAGAGAGAAACATCAATTTGAGAGAGACACATCGATTGGTTGCTTCCCTCACGTGCCCCTTCTGCAGCCCTCTGACCAATCTCTATGTGGCTTCTGCAAACCCTTGGTTATGGTAGTTCTGTTCAGCTAACATTCAGCTGGTGATTCAGGTTGATTGCTCTATAATTTAACTGTAAATTCGGTTTGAGTCTGGGAGCAGGGGTGAGTGTAGCTTCCACTACTCTGCAGCCATTTTGGAATGCTGGTTTTTTGTTTTGTTTTTTTAACAAAGAGAACAGGGTCCCAGAGATTTCATTGGCAACAGCTTCCTATTTTGTTTTTATTACATTGATTACATATTTTTATAGTTGGATTCTATTTATGGCAAGTGATACTGACTTTCTGTTTACAGTTGTGATATAAAGTTTCTTTAAGTGAATATATGTACGTAAGCAATTTATAAACAAGACCAGAAATTATGAAAATGTCACCTGCATGAATGAAGTTTGAATAATACTCCATGATTGTATCTTTTGTGAGCCTTCCAAATTGACTTTTCTATGCTTACTTATTTCTGCATTTGAAGTCAAAGACAAGGGACATGAAGTAGGGAGAATAATTTGTACTATAGAAGAAGCCAAGAACTAGTGTACAGTCTACCTGGACTCAAGCAGTTCTCCAGACACATTAGTCTTAGATCTCGCATTTTGAATGCTAGACTTTTAAGGCACACAGATCACCTTCAAGCCTCAGCACATGAGTCACATTTTAGGATGCCCTTCTTACACAAGAAAGATTTGTTTTTCAAGAAACATCAGGGAAACAAGACTAATTTGTGGTTCTTCTTTCCCTGAATTTTTTAAGAATTACCATCTCTAAAAATTGATGTGTTCATTTTTCAGCTCAGCAGTTTCATTATTCAGTGCATCTCCATTCCAAATTTTTCTTTTAACTTCCTGCAACTTCCATATCAGCTTTCATACCAAGATTCTTCTTGACTGAATCACAGCTCTTATTATTATAGTAGAGGCCCAGTGCACAAATTTGTGCATGGGTGGAGTCCCTCAGCCTGGCTGGTGATCGGGGCTGATCAGGGCCGTCTCACCCAGTCCTGATCAGGGCCGATCGGGGCTGGCCAGCCATGGGGAGGGACTGCTGGAGGTTGGCCAGTTGGCCGGGGGGATGGGGCCACTGGAGGTTGGCCGGCCACGGGAGGTTGGCTGTGGGAGTGCACTGACCCCCAGCTGGCAGCTCCTGCATTGAGCGTCTGCCCCCTGGTGGTCAGTGTGCATCATAGCAACCAGTTGACCAGTCGTTCAGTCGCTTCGGCTTTTATATATATAGATATTAATAAATCAACTTTTGTTGAACTTCATTTTCTTTATCCAAGACAGTAAAACTTACATTTCTTGTACTTTCCATTTCAAATAGGTTTGGTGTTTCTAAGCATTGCAGCAAACTAAAAATATCAATAATCTCATTAAACTATGTTTTCCTTGCTGGTGGCTGGTATATAGTCTGATTTAGGCTATAATTTCTGTACATGCAAATGATATTAATTTCATTTGTTTTCTGAATTTTTAGTAATACTGGTTTATATTTTTCTATACTTGTATTGAATGTAGGTCAAGGAATACTTATGCCTAATAATGTGAAATAATAATATTTACATGTTAATTATTGTTTATAAATTTGGTCATGTATTAAAGTGATAGGGAAATATCCTAATAATTAATGCCCCTGATTAATATTGTAGAAGAAGAAAATCACATTGCAGAATACATCAGATGGAATAAAACATGCCTTCCAGACAGACAACAGCAAGGTATGCCAGTACCTGCTGCATCTCTGCTCTTCCCAGCATAAGTTCCAGCTACAGATGAAAGCAAGACAGAGCAACCAAGATGCCCAAGATATTGGTAAGGAGACACAAACGATGACAGATGACTCCGGGGTGTATGCATGGTTTTTGCCACAAATTTTAAAAGCACTTCCATGTTTAGGATAAAAATTACAAGCTATCTAGATGTTAAATGATTAAGTCAAGTTTAGAAAAGTGTGAAAAGAAGCCGAAATTTCAATTTCATGTTCATTTTGAAAACGACCCCAGATCAGTCAGGGGATACCTGTTGAAATATATATTTTGTGTTTATCCCTAGGATAACTAATGTAAATGTTATAGACATTTGGGTTATATTCTCTACCCATAGTAAACTTAAGCACTGTTTGGGAAGGTAAGACTAATATACATGAAACAATAAATAGTACACAATAGAGGGTCAGGGTTTGAATGACAGATTATAGCGTACAGACTCTGTGATCATGAGAAGAGGAGAGGGGGAGCAAAGACAAGGGTACTTGAGTGATGGCGCTTGAATTGGAATTTTGAAGAACAAAAATAATTAAATAGATTAAACAAAAATGGCAAGTTGTTTTCCAAATGGAGGAAAGAACCTGGGAAATAGGCAGGGGGCAGGGGAGTATGCACCCAGCATGGTGAAGTTACATACCTTAGCACATTTCCCACCTGTTAGTTTTACTTGGGTATGTCCTGTTTTGAGACTGACATGAATAGCCAAAGTACCCAATATAAATGGTCAGGAGAGTGGTTTTGGTTTCTTTTAAAAGGGAACCAGCAGAAGAAAGTAGTTCAACTCTGAAAGAACATCTCAATCAGAACTGAAATATTTGAAGGTTAACTTTGCAAGACCACATGTAGAATTAAAGTTATATAAAATCTAGTTCTGTGTAGTATATAGTTATACAAAATCTAGTTCTGCGTAGTATATTGTTATAAACTTCAAGTTAAACACTCTGAAGGCTTAGTTTAAAAAATTTAATGGAATAGCACTCATGATCTGTGCATCAGAGCTCTCTGAATTCCTTATCCAAACTTTCTCACATCCTGAAATCTTACAGAAATTATATTCCCCGTGGGATCAGAATGGGGTGATGGCAACCTGTGAATAGCCTTTCAAAATCAAGACGGTAGGGGCTGTATGCTTATGAAAAATGAAGATTCCAGAAACCTACCTGAAACATGGTATATCCCAATCTTTGGGCATTGGGTTCCTGGAATCTGTATTTTAACCGGCTTTCTTCAGTATTGATGTTTATGCATGCTAAAATATGATAACTACTGCTATAATCTCATTATTCCTTTTCTTTTCCTGCTTTGCTAAAAAATTTATATGTTTCCAAACTATAGTGAAATATCTAATTTATTAGGGTTACCAGTATTTCTACTTGGACTCATATTCAGTACAAACCAGAATTGAACAAATGAAGGTTACATCATAATAGATGTGGTATAGTGTACTATAGTAACAAATAATCAGAAGACCATCTGTGAAGCTAGCCTTCCATCTTCAACATTTCTTATACTAAAGAATAATGTAGTATAGATCTTAACAATATAGTGAAGATCATGAACTATGGAGCCAGATGCCAGAATTCCAACCTCACACTATTACTTATAAGTTCTGAATCTTGGCAGGCTACTTAAAACCTCTGCTTTAGTTCCTTATCTGTAAAGTGATTATCCTAATGAGAATACCTTATAATACATCATAAGGTTGCTCTGAAGATGAATGTACTGTAAAGCAATTTAAAAATGCCTGGCATAGTGTAAATATTGAATAAGTATTTATTATTATCATGACCATCATTGTTTTACCACCATTGTTACTAGTAGTAGTAGTAGTATGACCTTAGGAAAATAATTGACTTTTTGGAGTCTGACTTTCTTCACCCATGAAGTGGGAACGCTATCTGTATCTCACAGATTTGCCCTGGGAATACAACAGCTGTGGATCCTTGAACTCATATGGGAAAGCATTTAAGAATGGTATTAATCTATCTATATTTTCCCCAGATTTTGTTAAACCTTCAAAGGAATTATTTTCTGGTTAGAATTGGCTTAGAAGTAACTGCCTGCCCATGTAACTATCTGACAAGTGAAAATAACTGGTGTTATCTATAGGATGTTGAAGGGCTAGCAAATGCATGTTACTTCTTTAGAGTTATAGAATTGTGAAAGAAAGAACCTTAGAGGCCAGTATGTTGGAAACTTTACTGATGAGGGAAAAGGTTCAGAGAAGATAGTGTATCACCTAGCCTTAGAGTTAGAAGTCAAACAAGGCTGGAACCCTGGTCTCTTAAATTCTAATCCAATAATCTTTCTATTTTGATGAGCTTTTGAAGAACTAATTTGCATGGAATTAAATTGAGATTAATAATCATTTATTAAGCACTTACTACTTGTAAGACACCATGCTAGGTGCTGTGGGATAACAAAAATAACTGACGTCCCTCAACTCAAAAGAGCATACAGTTAAGTTGATGTATAAGGAACTACAAAACCATAAAAGGGACTGAACAGTAAAGAGCACAAAGAAAGGTTAGGAAGTGTGGAGTACAGACTGAGTGTGGAACTAGCAAGCCTTTGGGTTCAAATTTGGAACATTAGTATTAGGATGTAGGCTTATTCTAATCTGTATCCCATCTTGGCTTAGAGCAGCCGTGGGCAAACTACAGCCAGTGGGCCAGATCCGGCCCGTTTGAAATGAATAAAACTATTGAAAAAAAAGACCGTACCCTTTTATGTAATGATGTTTACTTTGAATTTATATTAGTTCACACAAACACTCCATCCATGCTTTTGTTCCGGCCCTCCAGTCCAGTTTAAGAACCCATTGTGGCCCTCGAGTCAAAAAGTTTGCCCACCCCTGGCTTAGAGTTTTTTCAAGGTGAAAGCAGTAGGATAAGCCAGGTAACTGGATGATTTATGATCCCATCCCACAAATATTTGCAATATTTTAAGTCCTACACAGGAGTAGGATATGAGTGGATTTAACTAGCATAATCCTTGATGTTTACAAAAGAGATATATACTAAACAGAACTGGCTGTTCCTATTCCTGCTAAAATTTGTTCTACATTTGCCTTAAGGGTGAAGAATGTATTGAATGTAAAGGTATTTCCTGGTAATTGAATCTGTGTAAGATTCAGTTTTTCATCTTTATTAAAGAAAATAGAAATGTTGTCTGCTCTAATAAAAATTGTATTTTAGGCTAAAGATCATTGTGGGAATTTTTAAATGAAAGTCTTTTTTAAAAATTATTATCCTGTTTTTAACTTGGTGTCCACTTCTACTTCAGAGAAAGAACATTGAATTTTTCTGAGGACAATGAGACATATTTATTTAAACTTCATCCTGATGCATGAATATTACAAACCTTTGGTATTTTCCTATCTATTTATACCTGAGATAAAGTATTCATTATTAATCTTCCTAGGAATTAGAAAATAATAAAACAATCTAAAGATCTAAGTCAGCAACAGTTGACATTTTATTTTATTTTTTGTGTGTGTGTGACATTTTTAAAAGGAAGTTTTACAGCTGTTTTACATAAGTAGTTGAGCTATATTCCTTAGAGCTGCAACACAGGGTTGATACTTTACATGGGAGTGGCAAATGGAGTGCGTTGTGATGTGGATTACTAGTGCATGAACAACTGAATCATTTCAAATTCTGTGCTCCTGGTCCTTTATTGACATGGAAGGACTTTTATGCAAAAATTCTGTGATGCAGTGCTTTTGTTAATAGCCTCAAATGTTTAAATGCTTCCATGACATTAGTTTCCAAAATAGAATAGCCAAGCACTTGTTATAAGGTGTCTCTAAATTTAGCCTCTAAAAGACGATTTTGGATGTACTGGTATATTTAGAAGTGAAAGGAATTTAAGCATGAAGAGAACCCCAGCTCCTTGATCATGTAACTTAACGGAAACCAAGAGAGAAGAACACAACTAATATTTGATTCTTCCACGGCTCCTGTGCCACATTTAAATCATGAAAAGCCAACAAGATTGGATGGTGGGATTGGCATAGTAATGAAATAACAAAAGAAATGATTTACCATTAAGGCCTTTTGTGGCAACAGTTTTATTGAGATATAATTCACATACCATGCAATTTACCCATTTAAAGGGTACAATTCAATGGTTTTTAGTATAGCCACAGGGCTGTGCAACTATCACCACAATCTGCCTTAAGCTTTTAAAAATATAATAATTAAGAACTTTTTCTCTGGGCAAAACTCCTCTGCTCAGCTTCCTTTTTGGCATGATCTCACCATGTTGGCCTATCCAGGTATCACCTCTCTCTCCCCATCCTTGGTTTTCGCAGACACACTACTAGGGTTGAAAATTTCTCTGTCAAATGTCATTCTCATTTCTAACTGAAACCGATAATTGGGAACTTGGGGTCAGTAAGCCTGAAGCCCAAACATTATTGGATCCAAGGGAATCGTTAGATGAAGTAGGAAATGCTAACCAGGCCCTGAATGGGAGAAAGCTGCAAGGATGGAGAGATGATGGTATGAAAACCAAGACCTTCCAACCTCCTCTTTAAAATCCTGGATTGCCACACTTTGAAAGCTTTCTACTTATTCTGGCAGTCAAGACAATTAAAAACTGCATGCTGTATTTTGTTTATTAAAATAACTCTTCTCATAAAGGTACTGCAGTGTTTCCATCGTGTAAAGCAATCCTATTTCCTTGTAGAGAGAGCTTCGTTTAGGAGCCTGAATCTCCAAGCGGAGTCCGTTAGAGGATTTAACTTGGGACGAGCAATCAGCACTGGCAGTCTGGCCAGCAGCACCCTGAACAAACTTGCCGTTCGACCTCTGTCAGTTCAAGCTGAGATTCTGAAGAGGCTCTCCTGCTCAGAGCTGTCGCTTTACCAGCCATTGCAAAAAAATTCAAAGGAGAAGAGCGGCAAAGCTTCGTGTGAGGAAAAGCCTAGAGAGATGAGCAAATCATACCACGATCTCAGTCAGGCCTCTCTCTCTCCTCATCGGAAAAATGTCATTGTTAACATGGAATCCCCTTCACAAACCATTGTGGAGTTGGTAGGAAAACCGTTTCACCAGATGGCAAGATCTGATACAGAATCTTTGGCAGAAGTCACAAAACTTAATAAGTAAGATCATAATTAACTAACCCGAACTACATATTTGTAAATTCTACATTTCATACATTTGTTTTTGTTTTATAATTTTCACCTTTTTTTTTTTTTTTTTTTACATTGACACTTCCTCCTCCTACCTTCCTTTTCCTCTTTAGTTCAAAGTCTGTTGCAAGTTTAAATAGAAGTCCTGAAAGGAGGAAACATGAATCAGACTCCTCATCTTTTGAAGACCCTGGTCAAGCATATGTTATAGGTCAGCATAAACAAGCTTACCTTCTTTTCCCCCATACCTGGTGCTCATAGTAAAGTGAATCAGATAATGTAATTTACCAAAGAATTTTTTTTGGTTCTATGTCCCAATTACCAAAACTGTTTGGAATATAAACTTTTTAGGCTACTTAAAATGCACCAAGTGAAATAGAATGATTTAACAACTGATTCTTAGCTTTCTCTTGGTGGCAATTAAAAGCCATTACCATCTTACCAAGAGAACCAGACAGCGAACCCTTGGCTTTGGTTGTCCTTTCTTCGGGTTTTCCTCACACACCTGTGAGAGTAGACTCCACTAATGCTGTATTTTTTTTTTTTTTTTTGAAGAAAGGTTTATTTAAGGTACTTTCAGAATAGCATGAAAGGAATTGTCTCTAAAAACAAACTGGATGGGTTGGTAGGTAGAAATTCCTAGTTGATTTAAGTTTTTCAAATTCTCCCAACTAGGTGGGGCCTATTAATATAAGTAGAGATGTCGTGTGTTTATAAACACACAATACCTTATATAAGGTAATACTTTCAGGTTTCCTGTTGCTTTATGCATCTTAAAAGGGACATGCATAGAATTGATCTTTGAGAAGAATAGCTATTTAAGCACAGAGGTCCAAAAGATTCCTCAAAATAGGAAACAGCTGGGGAGATAAAAGGAAAACAAGAATAACCATCTTCTGCTGTTGTTCACCAAATAATACTAGTTATCTCTCCCTTAGACCAAAGTTTGATCATTTAACTCCCAATTATACAAAGTTAGAAACTAGTATTTTCTCATCCTGTAGTTGGTTTGGGGATATGTGAAGTAAATGAAGTTAAAAAAGAACTCTACACTATAGTTGATAAATATGTATGGAAAGCAACATTACTTTATTAATACAGGCTTCCAAACTTTCAGTGATTATACTATCATCAATTTTAATTGAATTGGTGAAAAAAAAAAAACTTTAAACATATAAAAAACAAAGTCATCTTATATATTAAAAATAGCCCAGAAAATACTTTTCAAAGTACATTCACTATAATGGGATCTCTTATAGAGTCTAAGCTATTGATCTACATAGAAGAAATCCATCACATATCAGATGTAGAATAGTAAAATATTCCATAGACAAATACAGATAAAATAAAACTCATCCATGAAAGAAAATTTATTTCTGCATTTTTTAATTAAGGTTATCCATTCTTATTGAATATTGGATTTTCTTTTAACATTTGAACACATGTTTTTAAAAATCATTTCAGTTTCATCACTTCATATTTGGCATATTAAAATGTCATTGTCATAAACAATTCATTTGTTTTTAAGTTTATTCTGCAAAACAAGTTGATATGCTTAACTTGGACATTAAAAATAGAAAATAAGCCTATTATGGGAAGACATATTTTTCTGAGTATAAATAAAAGAAAATGCTACCTTAATGTTTTATTGCTTTTTATGCATTTATCAGAAGAAATTACTTCTATATCTAATATCTGATCATTTTATAAACTGTCTAATAATTTAATTTATACCACAGGAATGACTTTGCATAGTTCTGGAAATTCTTCATCCCAAGTTCCCTTAAAAGAAAATGGTAGGTTTACACAATGTTTTTCCCCTCCTTTTCATCATATCTTTTCTCTTGTACCTGATGAGCTGGTCTTAGACCTAATAACAAAGCGTCTCTGAATCCGTGCCAAGGATTTTAGGCCTTATACTGGAGCCAAAGGAGAACGTATTTGCAGCACCTAGTGATGTGGTGGGACCTGTCATTTAGGCTAATGTTGGTGAACTAGACAAACAACAGATTAAAGATATGGACACTAATTGGGAAGCTAAGATAATTCGGTGAGAGATAATTTTGATTAACGAGTTTTAATAGAGGCAGTTATTTTAAAGAGATCTTGAGCTGAATTTCTAAGTAAAAGGATTTATTCAGGTAGATTGTTGAGGATAAGCATTCCAGACCAAGGCTGTAATATGGTCAGAGATATGGAGACAGGTGAAAAGATAACAGGTTCAGGAACTTGCATCAATCTCTGCATGAAGGTATGTGAGAACAGGATTAAAGCTTAGAACTAAGCAGGGACTAGCTTTGAGTCTTAGCCTAAATATTATGGGAAGCATTTGAAGACTTAAAATGTTGAAATTTAGAGCAGAAGTCTAAGAAACAAAGTTACAGGAAGAAATTTTGTGCAGTGACTTCAAAGTCAGTAGATTCACCATTTTTAGAATTTAGGTTACAAAATACTTTCATGGACATTATCTTACTTGATCTTTCTAGCATCTTTCATGGGAAGAAGGAATGTTTTACTCTGCATACACTAGTTTCTTACCCTCAAACTCTTGAAGTTGAAATAATCCGAAATCTGATGAGAAAAAAGCAAATATATTAATCGATGTTTTAATATAGTTAAACTTGATGAAGCTTTGAGGTTAGTTCTAATGTGCCTGGAAACAGACTTGAGAACCAAGAAAAAATGAAGGCATTAAGAGTAGATTGAACCATATGAAACTGCTGTTTTTGTAGGTCAAAACTCAAACACCAGAGTGCCATTATCTGTAATTCTCATTCTCTGATAGAAATAGACATACTGCCCGGCCAGTGTTGCTCAGTGGTTGAGCTTCAACCCAGGAACCAAGAAATACACATACCAGGTCTTTGAGAGAAGAAAATTTTCCTTGGAAGTAAAATTGTGTCATAGTGTAAAAATACACACAACTATCTTAAAAACTCATGGAAAATGTAGGATTTTTTCATCTGATTATTAAAAAATATATCAATCTTGAAAAATCTGAGGGGGATATCATTAAAGAAAAAGTGAACTTATACAGGTACTTGGGCCTAAGTTACTAAGACCCTGGTCTATATCTTTATGATGATCAAGTGTCTTACATGTAGTGAATTTAGAATACCTGTGTGCCTAAATAATTATTAAAATGCCTGTAATGGTGGTAATTATTGAATAACAGCTATTGAATGCTTATTGTGTCCTAAACACTTATGTTTAGCTCTCATTTAATAATAGGTGAGTGGCTAATATTATTCCTTTTCACAAATGAGAAACCACACCATAGAGAGGCTGGATCTCACAGAAGGTCATGGAGCTTTAAGTGCCCAGGTCATAATTTGAATGCAGGAAGCCTGTTTCCCAAGCCCCGCTCTAATCTACTCTTTCAACTGTTTCCTATACAGTAACGCTTAATTATATTCAGAGGTACTATTTCTACCAGCTAAGCTTTTTCAAGAAGCTGTATAATAATTTGTTAAAGGATAACATCTGGAAGTGTGTGTTGGCCTTCCTTCTGATGGAAAAGAATATGAGTTCACATTGGAGACCACTTGAGCAGCATGTGCAGGGTAGCTTCTTTTTCAAACCTTTAGAAATGTCATCTTCCCACCTAGCCCCTATAGAGGAAGGGCCAATCCAGCTGCCTACGGATGTGTGCCCCAGTTGCCTTGCAGGCAAGTCTATGGCTTCTTCAATTTCTCTTTGAGTCTGCCCAATTAGCCCTGAATTAGTGCTCTGTTGAGAACTCAGTTTTCATGTAATAAAGTATGGCAAACATTTTTCTAAATAAGGTAACTGATAAAAAAGTTAAGTACTTGCCCATGAGTCAAATATGTGCTCTCTTATTCTAATTTCAATGTTCTTTCTTGCTGGTCAAGATTATTAGAAGAAATTGGAAATGAGCATCAACTAATATTGAAGTATTCATAACTTAATACAAGGACCAACAAATACTACTTAATCTTTTATGACTTTTAGAGACCCTTAATGAAGGTGAACCTTGAAAAAGAAGATAAAAAAAAAGGGGGGACATGAATCTTATAATCTCATGGAACAAATATGGAAAAGATTCTCAGTTTTTTTAAAAAATATATTTTATTGATTTTTTTTTTTTACAGAGAGGAAGGGAGAGGAATAGAGAGTTAGAAACATCAATGAGAGAGAAACATCGATCAGCTGCCTCCTGCACATCCCCCACTGGGGATGTGCCCACAACCAAGGTACATGCCCTTGACCAGAATCAAACCCGGGACCCTTCAGTCCGCAGGCCGACGCTCTATCCACTGAGCCAAACCGGTGCTGGCAAGATTCCCATTTTTTTATTGTAATTTCAAAAAAATAAAGGTTGCTTAACCTTTCAAACAGCACACTTCTATAATATTTCTTCCTAAGAGAGTAAAAACAAAAATGTAGAACTTATCCAAGAATTATGTAAAATTGGTTTTCAATGTTTCTCATTTTATTATAATTCAGGATTATTATATAATTAAAAAGTAACTTTTAGCTAGATTTGTCACCTTCCTTCTTGTTCAAACCAAAACAAACACTCTTAACAAAAACAAAATGCAAAAAACAAAAATGTCATTGGAAAGGTTATTCTAATACAAAAGGACTTGGTGCAGACAGTAAAAATAAGCCTTTTTTTCCCTAACATTAAAACTGATTTTTTTAAAAATATCTTTTTATTGATTTGAGAGAGGGAGAGAGAGATAGAAACATCGATGATGAGAGAGAGTCATTGATAGGCTGCCTCCTGCACACCCCACACTGAGAATCGAGCCTCCAACCCAGGCATTCCTGACCAGGAATCTAACTGTGACCTCCTAGTCATAGGTTGGCGCTCAACCACTCAGCCACGCCGGCTGGGCAAAACTGATTATTTTTTATGGACAATATTAAATTCAAGCAATAAAATGTTATACAAACAAAAGTAAGACTTTAAAATACACTTTGTTTAATAGGATTTTTTATTTTTATTGATCTCAGAGAGTAAGGGAGAGGGAGAGAGGGATAGAAACATTAATGATGAGAGAGAATAATTGATAGGCTGCCTCCTGCATGCCCCTACTGATATGGGAATTAACCAGAAGTAAAAAAAATAGAGTCAACTAAATTGAGGACTGAAAGGAACTTAAAAAAGTTTATTCAAATCATCTTTTCATTTTATGGATGAGTTAAACGAGTCCCCAAGATGTTATTTGGCTCCAAATACTCAGCTATTTAAATATTCTGGCACAGAAATACAATACCAAAGTTGTCATTTTGATCCCCTTTACCTACCACTGGAGCAGTTATTTTATTAGTAGCTTAACAATGAAAAATGCCTCTATTTGTTTTTGAACAATATGGTGCTACTGACTCATTATCCCCAGGATTTCAAGTGGGTCTTTTTCCTTAAGGCGAGTGATGGATGTATCTAGAGCAGTGGTTCTCAACCTTCCTAATGCCGCCACCCTTTAATACAGTTCCTCATGTTGTGGTGACCCCCCAATTTCATTGTTACAAATTGAACATAATTAAAGCATAGTAATTAATCACAAAAACAACATGTAATTATATATGTGTTTTTCAATGGTCTTAGGTGACCCTGTGAAAGGGTCATTCAACCCCCAAAGGGGTCGCGACCCACAGATTGAGAACTGCTGATCTAGAGCTTACTCTACCTGTAGTCTAGTTAATCTTAGAATCAATGGCATGAAGCTGCCCTGTAATTGACAAAGTTCTATATATATATAACCAAGAAATTAGTTTTTCTTGTGAAAAAAAAAAAAGTTGACTCAGAGTGATTATACAGGGTGGAGCAAAAGTAGGTTTACAGTTGTGAGTACAGGAAATAGTTTATTTAGTATTATTATTTATTACTAGAGGCCCAGTTCACGAAATTCGTGCACTGGGGGGGGGGAGAGTGGTCTCTCAGCCCAGCCTGTGCCCTCTCACAGTCTGGGAGCCCTCAGGGGATGTCCTTAGGTGCTACTGCAGAGGCAGGAGAGGCTCCCACCACCGCCCCTGTTCTTGCCAGCCATGAGCCCGGCTTCTGGCTGAGCGGCGCTCCCCCTGTGGGAGCACACTGACCACCAGGGGGCAACTCCTGCATTGAACGTCTGCCCCCTGGTGGTCAGTGCACATCATAGCGCTCAGTCATTCTGCCGTTCGGTCAATTTGCATATAAACCTTTTATTATACAGGATTATTGTATTTTTTCCCATACAAACAACTGTAAACCTACTTTTGCCCCACCCTGTATGGCTGTGGCCTTATTAGAAATATGATCTTACTGTGAAATTCAATTAGTTTACTCATAGATCTATCTATCATTAGTATCTACAATTTATTCTAGTTAGTGACTATAGGTGTCCACATGAACCTTATGAGAGAAGAGAAAGGCAGCGTCTAATGCAGAGGAGGGTATACATTTTATTTCTTAATTATATATTTATTATATTAAGATCTTTTCCAGGTAAACATTATTGAGAATGAAACTGATAGTTACTGATGTGATAATACAGCATATATTACTCAGAGAAGTGAAAATTTCAAGTTTAAGTTCTTTTTCACTTTAAAATATTTGCAGAATTTTCTGGGTTATAGAATACATTAATGGGAAAAGAAAATTATTTTAAGGTTTTAAAGATAAGTACTCCTTGAATATTAGTGCTTGTTTCCTTGTAACACTTAACTCAGAAATGTCTTGGTATTTGAAATATCTAGCTACCTCACTTTCAGAGATTAATAAATTCTATTCAGTCCTCATTGAATTCTATAAATACCTTTAAATTTAATTGTCATGTATTATATACCCTCAGATACTTCATCCTCCCTCTTTTTTAAACTAGTGGAAGAATATTTGAACATCTATTTGAATAGAATTCAAAAATAAATAAAAACTTCGTGTGTACACAGTACTATTTAGTGACATGTAGTTGCACGAACATTTTTCCTTCCTTCTGTCCTCACATTAATACGTCACTTTACGTGGAGGTAGACTGTGGATGGGGCAGGGGGACATCACTGTTAAAAAGAATAGGTTAGCACCCTGGCCGGTGTGGCTCAGTGAATAGAGCATCTGCCTGCCGACTGAAGAGTCCCGGGTTCGATTCCGGTCAAGGGCACATGCCTGGGTTGCGGGCTCCATCCCCAGTAGGAGGCGTGCAGGAGGCAGCCGACCCATGATTCCCTCTCATCATTGATGTTTCTATTTCTCTCTCCCTCTCCCTTCCTCTCTGAAATTAATAAAAATGTATTTTAAAAAAAGAGTAGGTTAGCAAAGCTTCTCTTTCCAAAAGAATATTCAACTCCGCCCTACTCAAGTCTTCTGCTCTAGCTACACTGATCTGTGGCATTTCCCCAGGACTCTTTCTACCTTCTTTCCATCTCAACTGTTGCTAATGCCATCCTTGTTGCTGCACTAGTATAACCATCTCCATAATCCACTTATTAAAATCCTACCCAACTTCCTTGAAGTTTCTGTATTTCTGGCAATAAGAAGCCTCTCCTTTTTTATGGGTCTGACTCATGCCTTTGCTCTGCAGCTATTTCACTGACAGTCTCAACAAAATTCTCTGTATCACTCAGGCTAGATCTTTGCCCGTCTGTCCAAGATTTGGTCTGATGCAGCTCACAGTTACTATGCTAGCGGCTTTCATATACAATCACATTTTATGTTCCCTAATTGCCTAGTGAGGGTCTTTGACAGGAAAATTGTTCAGTAAACATTTGAAGGATGAAAGAATAATTGAATAAACGAATGTTTAAATCTCACTGGTGAATCCTTGAATATAGAGAGCTTAATGTGTTGCTTCTAGTTAGGAAAGTAAATATGCAAAAATACTGCAAATTTAACGTTGTGTGTGTGTGTGTGTGTGTAATCCAGTGTTTACCTAGGATATATCTTAGCATACACATTAGCCTAATAAGTAATATAAATAACCAATCTTGTTAGTGTATGGTGGGAAATGAAAATAAAGAAAATGGAATTATTCTTTGAATAGATATATTTGACTTCTAGCAGGTAGTCCCTAGGGACATGAAGAATATCAGCTTTATAACTGAAGGCAAAACACTGTATAGAGTAAATGGACTTTGTCTTCACGATGGTGGCAGAAGTTTACATTTACATACCTAATGTGACCCCACTTCCTTATTTATTTATTTATTTATTTATTTATTTTATGAGTTTTGTTCTGCTGTATTATGTATTTAATTCTAGCTGAAAATTAGGATTAATTGCCTGTTTTAGGATAAAAGCATCATGGCTGCTTAAATGATAATATTAAGCTAAGCATTAACTAACACATGCCATTGTTCTGTGATTTGGGGAGGGATTTTAATAAATTAATTAGGAATACTGAATTACTACTACTGTTATTGATTATAACTAAGTTTATAACTGGGTTTTTGTCAAAAGAGAATCAATGAAAGGGACATGTATACTACAGGAAGCTAGCAAACTTTCACTAATACTTATGTTTAAGGGACAAGGTTAATTTACTTCAGAGAGCAAATGATTGTTTTTATTGTTTTCTGACATTAAAAGAGTTTATTTCTAGATATGGAGTATCACATATACATCATTTAAGCATTAATACATGTTGTACAATAAAGGTATGACTTGTTTTATACCACAATACAATTTAAACTCATGGGTAATTATAATTGATGTTTAAGAAGTGTATTAGTTTGCTAGAGCTTCCATAACAAGGCCCCATAAATTAGGAGGCTTAAACAACAAATTTATTATCTCACAGTTCTGGAGGCTAGTAGTCTGAAATTGAGGTGTTAGCAACATTGATTTCTTCTGAGGTGCCTCTCCTTGACTTGTAGGTGGCAGGCAGTCTTTTCTCTCTATCTTCACATGTGTGCACATGCCTGTATTCAAATTCCTTCTTATACAGACACAAGTCATATTGGATTAGGGCCTGCCCTAAAGACTTCATTGTAGCTTAATTATCTCTTTAAAAACCTATCTCCAAATATGGTCGTATTCTGAGGTACTGAGAGTTGGGGCTTCAACATATAAATTGGGGGCTGGGGAATAGAGAGAAGGGTCACAAATCAGCTCATAATGGAGAGGAAGAGCATGAGAGTGTGGACCGTTTCAGATGATTAGATTGCAAGTAAATGAAGTAATGTTTCTTATTGAAATGACAATTAAATATTTATTGATTTAATTTAGGAGATTTATGCATGATCATCCTACTTAAAAAAATAATCCAAATGGAAATAAAGTTAATTATAGCATTAAACTAGCATTTATCAAGTACCAACTTAGGACATTTTGCTGGGAAGTAATACTCGTTGTAATGTTGAACAAGTCATAAACTGTTATTCCTCATCCACAAAACAATGATTAAAAATCTCTTTACCTACCTCATGCAATTATTCCACAAATAAAATAGAAATAAATAGAAGTCCTTTGAGAATGTAAATGTGCTAGCCAAGTCATTATTAATGAGACCTTAAAAAAGAAATTTATTTTTATTGCTATTTAACTCTAGAATTTACCGTGAATATTTTACTCATTTTTAATAAAAATGTCAACCACCTATTAGTAGGAATTTCTTAATATATTTAGGAAGTCAGTGGTGATGCAAAAGAAAGACATGGAGTCAGAAAACCTGAATTTAAGAATCTGATCTTGCTAGTACTAACTGAGTAAACCTGCTCAAATTATTTAACCTCTTGAAATTTAATTAACAATTTCTAACTGAAATATTCTTATTTCACAGAGAATCATTTATAAGGAATAAATGTGACAACATACAGTTATTTTGTAAATATAAATCACTATCAAAACATAAGATGATGGCATTATATTATTTAAAATATAATTTTATAGTTACTGAGCAATCTGTAAATGAGCTTTGTTAACATTTAAATTGGAACAAGCAGACAGTCTTAATGCCTGAACGTGTTATGTTTATTTTACCTTAAAATTATGCATTTTCAATAGATGTGCTACACAAAAGATGGAGCATAGTATCCTCACCAGAAAGGGAGATTACCTTGGTGAACCTGAAAAAAGACGCAAAGCATGGCTTAGGTAAGTCACTGTGAGATTCTTAAAGTCTGTAGCATAGCATTGGGATTGAGGCACAACCTACTTCTGATCAGGCCACTGGCTGCCCACCCACAACCCCTCACCCTACCTGCCCAGTCAGGAAATGTCAAAGATGAAATGCTTACAAGCAATTCTTCCACAAAATTTAACGGTCCCATCTCATAGGTGTTACTTGTCTATATATATAAAAGCCTAAGTGACCGTCCAACCAGTAGCTATGATATGCAATGACCACCAGGGGGCAGACGCTCAATGCACTGGCATGGAAACATGGAATAGACTGCTGAATCTCAGAGAGAAAGGGGCAGGGGGGAGGGCGGAAAGAGATTAACCAAAGATCTTATATGTATACTAGAGACCCAGTGCATGGATTCGTGCACCAGTGGGGTCCCTCAGCCTGGTCTGCAGGGATCGGGCCAATACCAGCAGTCCAACATCCCTTGAGGGGTCCCAGATTGCAAGAGGGCGCAGGCCAGGCCAAGGGATCCCATCAGTGCACGAATTCGTGCACTGGGCCTCTAGTTAATTATATAGTGACAGTCTCCACACTTCTGTGTGTCAAACAGGATAATCATCATTAGTCATAGAAAGTACCAGTATAATGAAGATCTTTTTATTTTTATTTTTTTTTATTTATTTTTTTTTTTTTATTTTATTTTATTTTATTTTTTTTATTTATTTATTTTTTTTATTGCTTAAAGTATTACAAAGGGTATTACATATGTGTCCATTTTATCCCCCCGCCCTAGACAGTCCCCTAGCCTCCCCTATCCCCCAATGTCTTATGTCCACTGGTTATGCTTCTATGCATGCATACAAGTCCTTTAGTTGATCTCTTACCCCCCTACCTCCTGCCCCCCAACCCTCCCCGGCCTTCCTGCTGCAGTTTGACAATCTGTTTGAGGCAGCTCTGCCTCTGTATCTATTATTGTTCAAAAGTTTATAATGGTCTCTATTATCCATGAATGAGTGAGATCATGTGGTATTTTTCCTTCATTGACTGGCTTATTTCACTTAGCATAATGCTCTCCAGTTCCATCCAGGACGTTGCAAATGGTAAGAGTTCCTTCCTTTTTAGAGCAGCATAGTATTCCATCGTGTAGATGTACCACAGTTTTCTAATCCATTCATCTACTGATGGGCACTTAGGCTGTTTCCAGATCTTAGCTATGGTGAATTGTGCTGCTATGAACATAGGGGTGCATATATCCTTTCTGCTTGGTGTTTCTGGTTTCTTGGGATATATTCCTAGAAGTGGGATCACAGGGTCAAATGGGAGTTCCATTTTCAGTTTTTTAAGGAAACTCCATACTGTCTTCCATAGTGGCTGCACCAGTCTGCATTCCCACCAGCAGTGCACAAGTGTTCCTTTTTCTCCACATCCTCTCCAGCACTTGTCGTTTGTTGATTTGTTGTGAAGATCTTTTTAAAATGTGCTATTTCACAGGATTTCAAATCATTGGTGGGGAGAAGATGGGAAGACTGGATCTAGGTGTATTTATCAGCTCAATCACTCCTGGAGGACCAGCTGACTTAGATGGATGCTTAAAGCCAGGTACTTTACATTTAGTTAATTTCTTGTGTACTTTACTGTCGGGCATGAATTTGCACAGATATCAAAAGTGGAACTTGGACAAAATAAAAATAATTGGCAGGTTGACATTTCTGATATTTAGCATGAATTTCTCTTTGTCATTGAAAATACTGGATTGTCTATTTTTACAGGAGACCGTTTGATATCTGTAAATAGTGTGAGCTTAGAGGGGGTCAGCCACCATGCTGCAATTGAAATTTTGCAAAATGCACCTGAAGATGTGACACTTGTTATCTCTCAGCCAAAAGAAAAGATATCCAAAGGTAATATAAACGTCTCCTGACTGTGTTCTGTTTCATTTTTACAAGAACTTCAGTAGCTTGGCCCAATAAATCAGAATTCAGCTTCTTATTTCCTTTCTGGAAATTTTAACAGTATAGTTCTGATTATTTTGATTTTATGGATCAGTTGAACTTTTTGATTGATTACTTCAAAGATTTTCTATCTCATTCCTCCTTAATAATACAGTTGACCCTTGAATGACCCAAGATTAGGGGTGCCGACAACATGCACAGTTTAAAATCCTTGTCTAACTTTCAACTCTCCAAAACTTAAGTTGTCTCCCCATAGGGGATTGGTTCCAGACCTCCCCCCCCCCCCCCCCCCCCGCCCACCACAAAGTATACCAAAATTTGTGGATACTCAAGTCTTCTTTATAATATGGCATTGTCAGCCTTCCACATCTGCAGACTCCCAATCACAGATCGAATGGTACAGGTATTTATTAAAAAAAAAATTTGTGGATACTGTATTATTCAAGGGTCATCTGTATCTGAATAAAAAATGGATTTGTTGGGTAAAATTGATGTCACTTAAGTAAATTCTCCTAAATACTTGGTGTTTTCTATCACTTACACCAAATCAGAAATGAAATTCTTTGTCATTGCCTATGTAATAGAAAACAAAAACAGATAGAAATATAATATCTATGAATTCCTGTTCTGAACCAGTTTATAAAAAGGAAAAGAAAACATACTAGAAATTTAAAAACAAGACCATATCATTTTGTTTCAACCCCTTCCATTAGCATGTTATGGGAGAAAACCCATATGACGAAGATCAGATGACTTATATTTGAGCTATGCCTGAGCCAGTCATTAGGTGTATGACTTACGTCCTCTTGAGCCACCATTGTTTTTTGTCTTTAAAAAGGAAACTATCTCGGGCCTGCCTTGTCTGCCTGGCACAGAGTTATCATGCAGCCAAGGGGTAGGGCAGTGTTCATAAAAGGTGCACATACTACAGGGCAGTCCAGTAGCCTTGTATATAGTATAGATAAATTTTTAAAAAAATAGTGATACACATACACACACACACACACTACTTTTAAACAAAAATACAATTACTTTTGTATACTCTGAATATCAGTCTGTAACTTGTTCACTCAATATATTCTGGACATCCATGAATGTCCAGAATCTTTTAAAAAAGAAAAAGTGTTCTTATTGATTTCAAGAAGAGGAAGGGAGAGGGAAAGATAGAACCATCAATGATGCGATAGTATCATTAATCCACTACCTCCCACAGGCCCCCTACTGGGGATCGAGCCCAGAACCTGGGCATGTGCCCTGACCAGAAATCAAGCCATAACCTCCTGGTTCATAGATCGATCGACATTCAACCGCTGGCCAGGCTATATACCTTTTTAATGTGACATTATATTTTATATTCATGGGCATGTCAAAATTTATTTGTTTATTTTGTTGTGCATCCAGGTTAGCTAGAATTCTATTACATATGTCGCTGCAACAAATACATTTGTTTGCACACCACTGAAAATGTACTTATTTCTAGAGGTTAGATACCTAGAAGTAGATTAAGGAGTATGCACATTTAAATTTTTGACAAATGCTACCAATTTGCTCAAGTTTTATCAACTTACAGTCAACCAACTAGATACAACAGTGCTCTTCACACCATTAGTGGTATAAGAAATTATCAGTCCCATTTTTTGTTAGGCAAATAGGTAGAAACTGCATATCCCTGATCAACAATAAGAATGTCTTTTCATATAGTTATTAGTTACTAGAGGCCCGGTGCACAAAGTTCGTGCCTGCACCCTCTCACAATCCAGGACCCCTCGAGGGATGTCTGACTGCCACAGGGATCGGGCCTAAACTGGCAGTCGGACATCCGTCTACCAATCTGGGACCACTGGCTCTTAACCGCTCGCCTGCCTGATCACCCCTAACCACTCTGCCTGCCTGCCTGATTGCCCCTAACCGCTCGCCTGCCTGCCTGATCAACCCTATCCACCTCTGCCTCGGTCCCCTCCACCGCAGCTTCGTCCAGAAGGATGTCCGGACTGATTTCTGGAAGGTTGTTCAGCTCTCCAGTCTAATTAGCATATTACACTTTTATTATTATTATTTTTTTTTTTTGACAATCAGTTTTATTTTTATTTTTATTATTTTTTTAATTTTTTTTAATTAAATCTTTATTGTTCAGATTATTACATTTGTTCCTCCCCCCCCCCCATAACTCCCCTCCTCCCAGTTCCCGCCCCACCCTCCGCCCTCACTCCCCATCAACTGTCCTCATCCATAGGTGCACGATTTTTGTCCAGTCTCTTCCTGCATCTCCCACACCCCTTTCCCCCCCAAGAATAGTCAGTCCATTCCCTTTCTATGTCCCTGATTCTATTATAATCACCAGTTCATTCTGTTCATCAGATGATTTATTCACTTGATTCTTAGATTCACTTGTTGATAGATGCATATTTGTTGTTCATAATTTGTATCTTTACCATTTTCTTCCTCTTCCTCTTCTTAAAGGATACCTTTCAGCATTTCATATAATCCTGGTTTGGTGGTGATGAACTCCTTTAGCTTTTCCTTATCTGTGAAGCTCTTTATCTGACCTTCACTTCTGAATGATAGCTTTGCTGGATAAAGTAATCTTGGTTGTAGGTTCTTGGTATTCATCACTTTGAATATTTCTTGCCACTCCCTTCTGGCCTGCAAAGTTTCTGTTGAGAAATCAGCTGACAGTCGTATGGGTATTCCCTTGTAGGTAACTGAGTTTCTTTCTCTTGCTGTTTTTAAGATTCTCTCTTTGTCTTTTGCTCTTGGCATTTTAATTATGATGTGTCTTGGTGTGGTCCTCTTTGGATTCCTTTTGTTTGGGGTTCTCCGCGCTTCTTGGACCTGTAAGTCCATTTCTTTCACCAGGTGGGGGAAGTTTTCTGTCATTATTTCTTCAGATAGGTTTTCAATATCTTGCTCTCTCTCATCTTCTGGCACCCCTATAATTCTGATGTTGGTATGCTTGAAGCTGTCCCAGAGGCTCCTTACACTATCCTCGCATTTTTGGATTCTTTTTTCATTTTGCTTTTCCAGTTGGGTGTTTTTTGCTTCCTCGCATTTCAAATCATTGACTTGATTCTTGCGCTCCTCTGGTCTGCTGTCGGGAGTCTGTATAATATTCGTTATTTCAGTCCGTGTATGCTTAATTTCTAGTTGGTTCCCCAATATAACATCGAGGGTCTCATTAGTTTTCTTGTAGATCTCATTAAGTTTATCGGCGGCTTCTAAACAGTTCTTGAGAGACCTTAAAAGTGTGGTTCTGAACTCTATATCTTCCATTGACAATTTTGTCCTGTTTCTTTGTCTCCGAATTTTGTTATGCTTCCTTGGTGCACCCCCTAGTGGTCTTTGTTCCCAGTCTTATAGTTAAATCTTGATTGTTGTAGCTAATTCCAGGGAGGGTTTGACCTCCAGGCCAAGTGGCTATGAGAATCAGCTGTGTCAGCAGTGAGAGAACTTCTGTCCTCTAGGGAGGTGCTAATCTAGCCTTTGCCTGAGGCTATCCGGCTAATGCCTGTGTGCAGGGCTTGGGCGGGGCGGGTCGAACAGGATCAACAGGGTGGGCCGGAGAGAGCAGTTATGGCGGCTCTCAGTCCTGTCCCCAGGGGTTCTGCCTCTCTGAGTCCCAGCACCCGCTGCAAAGCTCGGAGAGAAAGCTGCACTCGCTCTGACCGAAGCCAGACAATCCCGCTTCTCCCGTTTGAGTCTGGGTCCCTAGAGACTCGCCCGGATCTGGAGCTCAGAGTCTGCGACTCCCTCCCGATTGAAAACGCCAACCGCGCCCTCCGCCGCCAGCCCGCTCCGCGCACTCCGCACCTCAGAATTTGACTTCAGGACTGTGCCTCCTCTGGGTGTCCGTATGCGTTTCTCTTTCCTCCTAGTTGTAGGACTTCCACTCAGCCAGCGTTCCTGTGGTTCTGGGTGATGTCCCTTCCGTTTTTTGGTTTCACTTTTGAAGTAGTTGTTCAAAGCAGCAAACTCCAGCGTTAACCTATGCCGCCATCTTGGTTCTCCTCCTAGTTTCACTTTTGAAGTAGTTGTTCAAGGCAGCAAACTCTGGCGTTAACCTATGCCGCCATCTTGGTTTCCTACACTTTTATTTTTATAGATGAGGATTTTACTCCTAATTTCCAGTCTACATTATCATACCCTTGTATCACAGGAGTTCTTAACTCCTTTTTTTTAATTAAAAAATTGTTTGAATCTTCACCTGAGGATATGTGTTGTGCCCAGATTTCATGATTCCCAAGAACCCACAGGGAGCCAGCGAGTCCGATGCAAAAGCAAAGAGTCATTCATTTCAAACCTAGGTTTGGCTCCCCTGCCACACTCACCGATGCAACGGTAAGCTCCAGTGGCCGAGAGAGAGAGAGAACTCTGTGTGGAGAGAGGTTTTATAGGGGTTTAGGGTAAGGGGAGGTAAGGGGAGGAGAAAGGACTGTGGGCCCTGCTGATTGGCCAGGCGTGAGTACACAGGATGTGGTCATAGTGATGGCGTGCACTTCCCTTGACTATCTTCCGGGAAGAAGCTTGCTGAGCACATGGCCAAGTTAAGATGAAGGGCATAGCCCTTACCCTGGGGCAAGGTGGAGGGCGTACTCCTCGCCCTTTCATTCCCCCCTTGTCTTGGAACTTCCGGCTCAATCATGAGACGGACTGCATTTCTATTCCACCATTGCTAGAGGCCCATACTGGGCACACAGAACTATCAACTGAACTATCCCTATAAGCTTAACAAATGGCCCGGTGGAAGGGAAAGAAACCATTTATCTACTGTCCTGATGTTTGCATACACACAACAAGAATGGTAACTGACTACCTTTGCTGGAATTTCATGGTTGAATCTTAATGTGCCCCGTAGGGCCAGGAAGCCAAGCCATCCAGCTGCCATCAAGCCTGCCTGCAGTATCTGCTGAGTTAGGTGAATCCCTCACCTGTAGCAACTCCACCTGAGCCCA